GGGGGTGGGCGCGCCCGCTGCGCGGGCTTCGCCCACCCCCACTAACAAGGATGCTCCGCAATACCACGGACCACACAAATAGCTCAATAGTGAGTGTGCATCGGACTTAACCTGTTTACGGTAGGGTAGCCAAGTCCGGACTTTGTGTTGGCGACGCTATCTCGTGTGGCGGACCGCAAGGGCTCGTCGCCTTATCCACGCGCCGCCGCCGTAGACCTGCTCTCGCCCGCGTAGCCGGTACACTTACTTGATGCTCCCCTGCAAGACATGTTTTTGAAGGGGATCATGTTGAAACGCTCATGTTCGAAATCCTATGGCCGCCATATCGGAGGCCTGAGTTGAACCTCAAAATATCCGATGGATAACGCTCGGAGTCGGCGCTCTTTTGTTTACCTCTGCTTTTTGCCAAGTGCGTATCAATAGTGCCGTAGGGAGCTAGCTGTTTCGCTCACCCACGGTGTCTTGTCGGTATCTTTTGTGATATCCGCCCACTTCCCCCTTCCTGACTCGTGTCCCAGCCGCGCTTTATTGCCTCCGCGCGCTGTACTTCCAGCTACTCCCAGTCCCTCGTTTACTCGCTATGCCAAACTGTACGCAGGCTCCTAACCGTAGACTCGTAACACAGCCTCACTTATGCGGCCTAATAAGGCAACGAGCCAGAGGCTCTCGCGTCAGAGAGACTGGGATAAAATGTCGACTCGCTGGCAGGCGACCGACGGAGTTTGAATTTTGGCTCGGCCCGAGAGAGATCAACGTCCGAATAGAGAAAATCACCCCCTGTAGATTAGATACGACGCGTCTGAACGCGCTCCCCGCCTCATTAACGCGTCGAGCCCATGTATTTATGTACTTATCCCTTACTCCGCTCCCTTAAATTATGAACAACCATTTCATTGTCGATATACCCGGGGCCCTGTCCAATAACGCGCGCGAGTCGCTCAAGAAACTCCCTCGGTCTTTCCTCGACAACCTTACGTATTAATTACATTCAAGTTCGAGCAGGTCGAGACGGTCTTTGCAATGACAACATGGTTCGACACTCGATTATCAGGCGAGCGAACGCTACTGCACTTTCAAATCGAAGCTGCTATTCGAAACATAGCCGGAGAGCACGTTATAGTCCGCGCAGGAACAGGCTATGGCAAGACATTAGCCATGATACTTTCACTAGTCTTTGCACGCGTTCGAAAAATCGCCATTACAGTTTCTCCACTCAAACTTCTTCAACAAAACCATGTAAGCTTTATTCCAGTCATGAACGCTTCCCTAACCATCGCAAAGGTCGAAGAGTTTAATAGCTACGGTATCCGTACCATCCAAATCAACGAGGATACACCCGATGACAAGAAACTTTGGGATATGCGTGTATTCGGTGCATATATCTACTAATCTTTATTCTACGTTATCCAGGACATATCCCGATCTAGCTTCGCTTGCCATCCGTCGATGTTCCCGAGGACGTTCCATAGGTGATCCAGAGCTCTTCCCTGGAAAAACCCAGAGCGATAGTTGCCGAGATAGCCATTAGGATCTGCTGTAATGATCTTGATGAGCAAGTCTGTGGCCGACAGAGAGGCCTTCTTGACGAGGATATCCATAGCAATAGAGATCTTGTTCTCCTCTAGAGAAAACGAGTCCTCAGCATAGACGAGATTGATCGCTCTGAGCCCAGCCTCCGAGACAGCGCGCAAGAGTTCATTCTTCCTTTGTTCGATACTGAGATGACCTAGCCAATTGTAGTCCCAGCTGAGCGGCCGAGGTGTCGCCTGAGTGTGATTGGGGCCATAGCCCCAGTACGTCGCCATTCGAGTGCTTCACGCGGGGAGGGAGAGCATAAAAACACGATTATATTCGACTATCTACGACGCGTCGAATACCCCTGTCCTAAGATTAGATTACGGGCGTCGATCGCCTCGGCACCACGATGCCGGCTTCGCGAAGTCCTTACAAATCCTTTCCCATCCGCCAGCTTTCACACTCCGTCGGTCGCCTGCCAGGGCCTCGACATTTTATCCCAGTCTTCGCTACGCGAGAGCCCAAGGCTCGTTACCCGATTAGGGTGCGTCAGCGAAGACTGGTCACGAATCTAACGCCATAGGGGTCCACCTAATTTCGGTCTATTCGGTCCATTCGGTCGAAATCGGTCAAATAGGTTTATTACCATATTTGGACGGTCGCCCCCCGAAGCACCTAAGTGACTAATTATTACAGTCATTTGCATTCCAACCCGGAAAACGCGCGTCTCGCGGCGTGTTTGTTCTGGACAAAGCTTAGCCATATATGGTAGTCACGCGCGAGCTTTTGATACTCCGACGTGACTTCGGCTTTATGGACGCTGCTGTTGTGCCTCGCAGTCAACACACACTGTAATACAACCCGCGCCAGAGAGTTTTGTTTACTAGTAGAGCTGATAAGGTAATTAGAGTATAGTGATACCAATCTATCTCACCACAATACATAAGTCATTTCGCCTCAGATCAGCTCGGAATTATACCACAAATCACTGAGTGGTTTTTTGACGAATAAAACACTGCCTGTCAAGGAGCCTCAGATTGTTGCCTGAACCCTTGCCCGACCCGGCACTTAGATCCTCTTCTGCAACATCTACAAAATAATTTCTCACTATCGGAAGACAGACAGTGTTGACCGAGTCCAATTCCTGGCCTCAGGCCTTGGGATGTGCACGGATTTCGTCAACTGAAATGTCAAATATATTATACTAGTAAGTAACATGAGTCCATACTCACTCAGGCATCTATCTTGTCAAACTCTAAGTGCACCTTTTGGAAGAAGGAATATTCATGTATTGATTCAACAGTTTCACAACCCCTCCGGGGCGCTGCATTCTCCCACAAGGAGGATCCACAAGACTGCGGGCAGCATAGATGGAGGGGAGAAACGCCTGGAAACGCGCCCAGCGGCAACAGACAGTCACACTGTGATCGCGTGTGACCACAAGCCAAATCAGGTATGAGTTTGCGCGGAACAAACAGTTCGCGAGACGCGCGTTTTCCGGGTTGGAATGCAAATGACTGTAGGACCTAAGTCTCTCCGCCAAGCGAGCCAGAGCGCGTCACGTGACACCTCCTAAACTGCCGGCTTCTTGCCGCTTTTGGGGCTTCCGGAGCCCCGATCCCTTGGGAGTTTCTTGGCTCGCCATCCCCTCCGTCATGACCTACTGTCGTCCCCCGTGAGAATGTACACCACCGCCAGGATGTATAACTGTCTTTTGTGGCCGTTTCCCCCGCAAAACTCTCAAACTAAATTCATGATAATCATGATCCCATGCCATTCCATATCATCCTGCATTGGATTGGCAAGGGGATGTCTAGAAATGAAGTAACATGGCTCAAAAGATAGAAAATGGGCGCTTTTGAAAAAAATTTGAGCTCGGGTCAATAACCAGCTGTGAAATAACCTCAGGTTGTGAACAAAAGAGTAACCATATATTGAGCTAACACCTTCCGCCCCCACTGAAACAAAATTGGGTGCAACCAGAAGGCACAAGCTCTCAATATTTTGGACCGATGACAGAGTGTCCTCTCGAGGCTCACTATAATCTTATAGCCGCCGTATCGGCGAATCCGGCTCGGCAATATTAATAACACCCTGATTTTCCCTTTATGCCTCGGCTACCGCCAATACCCCGCCCAATATGGGCTTATTACCGATATCGGCTCCCACGTAGACTGTACAGTCTGACGGTGGTTGGTCCTAGGTTCTAAAATCCATTGATGCTCGTATAGTAGGGAATCTGTACACTTTGGCGCTTTGTGGATTTTTTCAGTATTAGCTTGGGTATCGGGGATGATTCAAACCTTATTTCACAGGACGGGCCTGCGAGGAAAATATTCCAGGACTTACGGGAATTTGGCTGTCTCTTCTGGCAGGGGATAACAGTATCTGCCAGCCTGCTGACCAACTGGTTAGGACTGCGGTGTCTCCACCGGCGACACGTCCCAGGTTGCCGGCTTGCCCGGTAATCGCGGCATCGTTTATAAACTCGGCAGCGCTGTCTTGGCGGCGCGCGAGGCTTTTGATTAGACCGTCGACGCCATCGCTGTATCACAATGCCGCTAGGCCAGGTCAAGCGTCAGCGCCGTACCCCAATGTGCGCCAGGCCTTCATTTCAATTTATCTGTCTATGGAACCTATTGCCATAAAGTGCATGTCGTAAATGGTTTTTTCTGCGAATACTCACGTCATGCAGGTCCGCGCTCCCTACATAATTTGTCGTTAACTCACTGCAATCGAAGGCTGCATGAGCCCAGCGTTGGTTATTAATTTGTCCCATGGCCGAGTGGGCGGCGTTCGATTCGATGCTTACGTGCGCGCGGCCCGCAGGGCGCCCATGCTAATTTCCGACTAATACGAGACTAAAATGGAGGGATTGCAGTAGCATTGCTCGATAGCGTCCGGCATTCGCTCCGAGCGATCGCGAGCTGTAACGGCAAACGCGCGGATCACCAGAGAAGAACAGAGAAGCCCGCGGTGCTGTTTCGACCCTGACTTAATATCAATCCCCGCCAAGGGAGAGCAACGCAACCCTATTCCAGCCCTAAGTCACGTGACTTGCGCGCAGGAAACAAAAGTCTCTGCGCGCTCACGCGCACGGACGCATCTTGGAGCGTTCCCTCATTCCATTACAATTCCCTCCGTCCATTTCCATCACCCTCGCCCTCTCCCCGATCTCTCCTCCTTCCACGTCGCGCCTTCGTCTTTTCCCCAACGCACGTCATCACCCCGCCGCGGCCTCATCAGTCTTAACCCGTTCCACGTCGCCCAGTCGTCTTTCCAACACCACCTCGTCGTCCACTCTTGTTGGTCACGTTCATTGCAACTGTCCCCCCCCCATCCCGGTTTTGTTACGGCCGGGGTCCTTGTCCCCGGTGTCTCGTCATAGCATCCTCGCCTCATCGCAGCTTTCTTCCCTGCGCGACTCCCCGCCTCCCCGCTGAATCCATCGCCCTTGAGGTTTCAACAGTGCGCGCCCTCGGAACATGTCGAAGGCGCCATCTCAGTCACCTACAGTCGCCGTTGGCGCCCTACCCGATTGGGCGGTCGCGGCAGGCCTATCTTGGCCATCGACAACATTGCACGCGCAGCTTTTTTTGGACGCGTTAACTATACGTCTGAATGCAATCATCGAGGCATCAGCACGCTGGGGTATAGAGGGGGTCTATGTGGCGACGTTGAAGGCTGAGATAGTGAGTATTTTGCTTTTGCTCTCTTTGCTGACGTGTCTCACAAACATCAGGATGCAGCCATGCCAGCGCTCTCGTATATTGGGATGCTCAGGTCCTCATATGGCGAGGATGGCTTCTTCGTCTCCATCCCTCCCATCCTCAGGTGGCTCAAGCGAGCAGGCGGGCCCGCTGGGCTTGTCTCTCTTGCCGTCGCCAAGGGATCCCGCCTTCACAAAGAGCAAGCGGGGTGGGTGCCCCGCTATCCCGACGGCCTCCCGACCCCGCCATATGGGCCCTACTCGTGGTGGAACCCTGATGTTGGCGAGTCCGATCGCGATGACAGCGTCGTCGAGAGTGAGGTACTCCAAAGCACCCCGCCTAGGGTGGCACGGCACGGGCAAGTTGGCGCTGTGTATTTTGTCGAGGGTTTTTTTAACGGTTTTTAATGCAGTCATTCCACAAGGCTAGCTGCCGGAGCCACTGCCAAGCATGCAGCAGTCTCTAACGTAGACGGGGGGAGCAGCACACGGAAGCGTAGGGCTACGGCGTAAGTTTCGTTTCTGTCCTGTTCAGTCGCTAACGCCCTGTCAAAACCCAGGGATGTGAGAACCCCGACCTCGAAAAAGAAACGACGCTTTCAGGCATTGCCCGTTCATCAGGTGCATTTATTTTTATTGAATGCCCCACGTGGCGTTGTTGACAAATTGCTTCAAAGGCTCAGGTTAGGAAACCTGCGCGTGGTGGCCGCTTGAGCGCAGCTGACCGCACAGCTCTCAAGCAGCTGCGGGTAAGTATCATCACCATTGCATGTTTCGTGAGCTGACGCCTTGTCTGCAGCACCCCACGTGCCCTGATGCACGCGCGCGTGCTGATGAGTATCACGACGGTGATGAGTACATGCCCAACGGCGCGCACTGCACGAAGTGCATCGCCAATGGGGAACAAGAGTGCTTCAAAAAGCCAGGCCTCGCCTGCTGGCCCTGCAAGTGGAAACGGAAGCTCTGCAGCCTCGAAAAGGAGAAGCCTGCCACTCGCGTTCGAACTGAACGAGCGAGCTCCTCAGCAAAGTCAGCCAGGGGAAACACAGCGACGCCATCTACGGTCCACAAGCGAAAATATGGCGATATCGGTACGTTTTGTCTTATCACTCTCCCGTGCTAGCTTTCTTAAATACCTATGTTGTTGGTGCCTCTCTAGATAACAATGCGGCTCCATTGCCTTCCATTGACCACTCTGTAGTCAACAACGCGGATGTCGTCGACGACGCTGACGCTGACGCGGAGATGCGCGGCGTCGTGGTTGAAGAGAGCGATGGCGACGATACCACAGGGCTCGACGTCATCGGCGACGCGCACAACGATAGCGCCCGCTCGACCAACGCGGTTGCCTACCAAGGTACTACGAGTATTATACCAGGGACGTCTGACCGAAGTGCGCACCCTTTCCATGCTTTTTTATTACTTGTTTCTTACTCGTATGCACGAAGGGGTAGCCACAGCGTCGGTTCTGTGGAGTATTCGCGCCTGCATTGATTCCGCCGTTACAAAATCCGACGAGCGCCTTTGGCGGTCTCTTTCTCCCGACCAGAATAATTATACATATAGTCGTTGCGCCGATATAATTTTAACATAGGATCTTTCTTATGTGTCATAGAAGCGGAAGCCAATTGTCGTAATTTATATAACTTTTTTGACGTCCTGAGTATGCTGAGTAGTATATGGCTCAACCTGGGTGTAAATCCATTAAGCCGCCTTTCTTTGTCGGCCGACGCGAAAACAGCGCCCATCTGCGGCATAATAAGGATACCAAGATTGCACAGTACCTGCATCATCGCGCCGCTCAGCTGGAAGCAATGACGGCGCTTCCCCGCTGCGGTCATGTCGGCTGACGCGGCGTCATCTTGGAGTGACGCCGCTTTGTGCCCTCGGCTACTCCGTGCTTAACAGCGCCCTGTAGTTACAGCGCCCAGGGTGTCAGCTGACGCGGCATCATTGCAGGCGTCGGCCGACATGTCACTCTCGCGCGTCAGCTGACGTCCGCTGCCACGCTGTTGTCGAGTGGTCTACCGTCCGTTGGGACGGCGTTGTCGAGGCGGCGTGCCTGCAACTGCTGGCCAGTCAACACTGCCCTGCGCTGTTACGGCGCATTCACCAACTTGGGTTCTCGTTCCCACCACGGCGAAATACCCTTCTTTCATTGCAACACAATACTTACTAGCGTGAGTTAGCTAGGCTTCGAGATAAGGTGTATCGCGAGTTTAAGAAGAGCAACATTATGCCAATCAGAGCACTACGATGAAGGAGTCTAATGATGTTAAGGCCAAGTTAAGGCTGCGGGGTGACGCGGGACGATGAGCCTCCTTCGACGCGTCGGTCAATGAAAAGCCCCTATCTCTGTATTTGTTCCAATTCTTGAACCAATTTCCTGAATCCCAGCACACTTCGTCTCACTCTCTCTGCTAGTACCAGTCACCACCTCACCCATGCAGGATACCCGAAAGCTCCCTCAAACCAATACCTCTCATTACGCTGAAGATATGAATAATGAAGGTCTGGCATTTAGCACCTATCAGGGCAAGCTACAGCAATACTCAAGTTAATAACAATTCAACTATGCAGGTTTTCAACCGTGACGAAGCATTTAGGCATCGTGAACTCCAGTGCATCCAAGCGTGCTGAATATTCTTGGATTGGTAATTAATATCCCATGTTCCGGTACTTCATGGCTGAGGCTGTGACAGATGGCTGCCCTATGGATGAACCTTGTGGTACGTTCCGTGTCACCTCATTGGTAGCGTCAGGTGGGCGAGACTGATAGCAGTGCTGTCGTACATCCAGCATCGTACAATGGCAGACTAGCTCAGGTGATGTCAAGTGATTGTGATTAACTTGTGCTCAGTTGATTAACGGACCTACTGACGTATGTGTTCTGAAAGGTATCCCGAGTAGGAAGTATAGCCTGAGATGGGCGTTTGTCTGCATGCTGGAGGGCGTATAATGTCCCTCTCTACTGATCATACGCTGAGGCTGAGAGACAAGCTTCAATGTAAGCCCATTCATTCTACGTCCGTTCTGAACTGCGCGTTGAGAACGCGCTCGCATTGTGAAGGGCAAGCGAAGGTAAAAACATGCTGTGCTCGATACAGGGCTTCGCATCCCTCAACGTGGCATCAGAGACTAGTGAATTCATAGATCAACGGTCTACAACATCGTGTGTGCTTTCGCTCCACACTTGCCTTCAGCTTGACGCACTTATCTAATTACCGTTTGTGAAACCAGCCAAGATAGCTTCAAGAGGACGAGAACGAGACTGGAAAGGTACTAAAATTGGCTTGAGCTCACTCTTATCTAGGTTATGGGCGCTTGGAGTGCACGCAGCCTTCCTGTTGGCTTTTTGGCTCCGCAAGTTAACTATGTTCAAACGCGCATGAGCCAGCTTCAAGAAGTTCTCATAACCCCTTCATCCCGCCATTGCACATTTGTAGACTGGCTCTTGCTCTCAAAATGAGCTTTGAGGCTGACAACAAGCCTAACGGCGCTTCCGACCGCAGCGACAAGCTCGCTAGGTCAAGGACAGAACCCGACCAGGAAACTCGACACCCTCTACCATTGTTGGAAAAGGATCGGGAGGAAGCTATGAATGCTCCGGTGATGGTCAGACCAGTACTAGCATCCTACGTTTTGAAGAAGAGATATACCCGAACCCACTACGCGTGAGCATCGTAATTGAGGGTTTCAAGTACTATGTATTGAATTATCTTTACAGTGATCGCGATGCAACAGCACCCCAGATTAAAAGAGGGATGTTGAAGTTCTCCGAGTGAGTTTCTCTCCAGAAATTATCAGGAATGCATCTGGAAAACGCGTTTACATTCCCAGGGACAGTCCATCGGGTTGGGAGGAGATCGTCCATCCAGAAGGCTGCCTTTATTTTGCTCGGACCGTACGTGATGAAGTCTCTTTCAATCATGGTGAGATCCTCGTCAGACGAAAGGTCCAGGAACAGAATCTAGGACATGCACGAGTCGGTCTCGCTTACTACATCATTCGTTATTCTCTCTTAAGCTGTTACGTTATTTCTAGACCGTCTTCACCAGTGCAGACGTTCGCGAACCCGAGATCCGTGACGTCCTTGAGAAAACCATAGAAGCGGTCCTATCCAAGGAACAAGACCCACCAATACCTGCAAACGCTGACATAGTCTTGGATTACGAAGATGACCTCAACTCCGTTGGATACTACTTTGCTGATCATGGAAGCCGCTGTCTGATTTGGGTTGACGATTACGGACCTGCCTCTGGAGATATCGTAGAGGGTGTGAGAGGAGTTGTAAAGATGGGACACATCAGTAAGACGAAAAGGTTGTCATTAATATTGAAATCATGTGCTTAAAGCGACTCTCCCGCTCATAGAGCATGCTATGGAAGCACAATACTGGTAATAAAATCAGTCAATGTCGGTGAGTGACTAGTGAAGACCGCTCCTAGCCTTTGTGATTCAACTTACGGTGTTCACACAGGCGAATCTGGCTGACACTCTCGTTGACAGGGCTCATGTCGAGGCATATCCATACAACGGTCACGTATTAACGAAAAAAAACTTACTTCGAAGTCTACGATACTGTGATTCATGCCAGAGCAGGTATACATCTATAGGATGTGGTCAGAACCTACACACTGATATATTAACAGACAGGTTAACAAACGTCGCATCCATATCTCCGTATGACTTAGATGAGCTGATCAACATACAGGAAATGCTGGAGTCTTTAAATGATATCTCCGTCTCCTCGACTTCTCCCACTGAGGTATAACGAGTATTGCCGTAGATAATGGTAGCCTGGAGAGACAGAGTCCACGCTTGGTGACAGTCATTGGTATGTTATATGATTCTCTTCGGCATACATCGAAGTTTTCTCTGACCATTACCGTAGCACGGGTCATGAGAACATTTAGTAATAATCCAACATCGCTATCTAAGCCGTCATATGCTGACTGATCTTTAGCGCGTTTCAGGCTATTTACGTTCTACGGTCAGCTTGAGGCACGGATGGACACCACGTCTGTTTATCCCCCACAGGATCTCCAGTTCTTCTGACGCATCTGGTATGAGGCGTCGAAGGCCGTTTTTGGTACTTATACGATGCTGGACCGACTTGAAAGCACATGGGTGGATCAATCTGTGAACATGGCAAGGTGGAAGGAATACATGGAAGGTATGTTGGAAAGCCTCGCTCAATGCACGTTTGTGAGTATTTCACTTTGAGCTCCGCTCCCCTTGCATCCACGTTTCGCCTTTCGCGCTTAGTCATATTTGCAACATGTTTGACTAATTCCCGATGCTATAAAATCCATAGGCCACAGTAATGCTTGCCGTGGATATGTCTTTCTTGGTTGTCCCGGGTGCTGGAAGCGAGTCTGGAAAGGAGAATGGTCCGACACTGTGTATTTACATACCGATAATTTTCTTCTTTGGCACGGTGATTTCTGCAGTTCAGTTGTCTGGTTATGCACGTCGATGGCGCTTGCTGTCCTCGGAGGAAGTGGTGCGCCTTTAAATCAATTACATTTGTCATCCAAACATTCTAACATCGATCTCAGCGGGACTTTATGACAAAGTTATCTCGGTCACGTATGGGAAGCTTGGTGTGGATTGCTTTCAATTACAGTATCCCTCATGCGACGCTCTTATATGGGTGCGTGACTCATCTTGCACCACTTCTCCATGAACATCGTTCCCGAGTTTTGTCTATGAATAACGACCAACCTACTTGTTCTCAACAGAACAGTCATGTTCCTTATGGTATTCCACACCCGATTTTTTGAGGGCGCTGCACTATATGGCAGAGGACTGTGTGTGGCTGCCCTAATTCTCGTCTTGCCGGCAGTCTTCGGTCCGCTCCTTTTCATGGATTGGGTTATCGAAGCAAGGGTCTGGAGAAGAACACAGAAGGGGATAAAGTTGGATAAAAAGTGTGCTTCAATGAGGGAGCAAGTAGCAGAGACAAGGACTGAGACGGTCTAGGATTCTTCGGGCTTACTTAGGCTGACAACGATTAGTAAATTATGTTCCTGGCTATGCTTTCAACCTCGCAAGAAATCAATGACGTGATATGCAAAGACGTTTGAGTACTTATTCTTCGAGTATCCTCGTTGATATAATGATAATGTTACCTTTATTGAAGATTTAATTCCTGATGTCTTCTACTCCTGCTCCAGTCACGACCTTGGAACTGCATGATTCGGGTTCGCGTTCAAGGGTTCGCGTCCAACCCCAGAAGTCCAGACGGATTTAAGCCTCTCTTACTCACCGTGAATGTTGAATTCCTATACCATTATAGTTTCTGTCATCGTCAATTGTATCAGTATCTGCTTGATCTTCCTGGAGCCGAAGACGCCAGGTGTAAGGAAAGAAATGTCGTATCCCTCCGATCATGCCGGCTCGCGGCCCGCGAGCGCGGATGGCCCGCACCGTCTGAATATTTAGGGTTTACGTCTAAATTTGGCAATGTCTCAGCGTCTGCGGCAGCACTCACACGTGTTCTTTACTGCTCTGAATTAGTGTACAGTGAACGTCTCCACAGCCAGGACGCTGACCAAGGTCACTGACGTTAGTGACCTTGCCGGGTCAGTGACCGAGTCACTAACCCATAGATAGGGGTAAAGAATTACTGTAGTATTTCAGTTAGCCTTACTATCACTCCATCTCCTCGTTGAGTCTGAATGTGCGCAGTGGGCACGGTGTTCGAACTTCGGACCTGGCCAGATGTGTTGACGCCCCGACAGGGATAGCACTGTCGAGACTTGTGTGACGTTTCTCTAAACATGACCAGGTTGTCGTAAAAAATAACAGTTATTTGGGACTAATATCGAGCGCCATGTTTTGCATTCTGTCTGTCGGGATTAGGAAATCCCATAGACACTGCGAGACGCGACTGTGGCGAGCATGTGGCGATGTTGACGCGCCGATCCGAAGCGGAATAGAAGTTCGATACTATACAGGCGGCTCAGCCACTCGCTTTCCCTCACTTGCTTCTACCACGAGCAAGAGAGGGTAAGCCGCCGTTGTTTTATCATACATGATAGAGAACTTACATACAAGCCTAGGTCTAACAGTGCCTAGGTACATAATACACTTGCTTCTACCACGAGCAAGAGAGGGTCTAACAGTGCCTAGCTTTAACAGGTTATGAGCGCCCTGCGCTTTGCGCGTTTTTAGTTTTTTGACCCCGTGGTACTGGATGAACAGCTGTCCGGACCCCACAGCATCACCCACGTTTATTCGCCTTTGCGAAACGCTTCTTAGTACAACACGTACACCCGACAATATGTCACAACACTCTTTTCATTCCGGGAACGCCGACGGCGATGAGGGAATACGGCCGGTAGATGCGGAAACTATGGACGCGTCAGCGAGTCTGCCAGAGTACGCTTCCAATATACACTCCCAACCGTACCGCGTCTCTTTTGCCCAACCCTCAACGTCTGCTTCCCCCCATGATACTCTGCACGAACCATCTGCCGACACGACTCGTAACAACTCCGATCTTTTCGGCTTTGGTAATCGTCATCCTGGCGGACCCACCAGTCTTTTCGGCTCTAATAGCCATAGCAGCAGTCTTTTTGACATAGGCGCCAGCGCCCCTCGTCCTAATTTCTTTGGTCTCGGCCCTCAGGCCCCTCGTACCGAATCTCCCACTACCCGCGACGGCCCGAGTCGTTCGCTTTTCAACATGTCGGCACCTTTTGTGACTCACAGACGTAATGTTACGCCCCCTGCTTTGACCAACGTTCTTGACGCGCGTCCGCTATCCCGTATTGACGAGGATCGCGATGAAAGTCGGGTACTGACTCCGGCCTCTCTTACGAGACACCGTGATGTTCAACCCCCACAACAGCAGCATGTGTACGCACCTGAGCCTTCGACTTTACAACCTGCATATACTCGGGCTCCGGTGGCATCGACCTCGCAACCCGCATATACTCAGGCTCCAGTGGCAACGTACTCATCGCAACCACCTAGGCTACAGCACCCGGTCTCAACCTATTACCCTCACGGGTACCCGGCCGGGCCTCCGCCTGTACCTCCGCGCCCTCCACCACAAGGACCTCCTCGTCAACTGCCACCGCATCTCCCAGCTCCAGCGCCGCCCCCGGTATATGCTCCACCAGCGTACTACCACGCCGCTGCTCCTGCAGGACCGGCGCACCATGCTCCACCAGCGTACTACCATGCCGCAGCCCCCTCGGGACCGGCACGCCATGCTGTTTTTCTCCCGAAGATCACAGGAGGGAAGCTTGAGCTGCACCACGCAGCCCAAATCGAGCAGCTAGACCGTAGCACTGGGAACTGGATGACCTGGGACGAGGATATCCGACAGCATCTGGTGACAAACCAGTATGACGCAAGGTGGCTAGACGGACAAGTTCCGTGGGTTGACGCGTCTATTGACGCCCAGTACGCACACGACTGGATTCGCGCGAACGATACTATCCTCTATTTCATCCGAGGAAAGATCTCTAGCGTCGACCGTCAGTACATCTCGACTCACAAGTGGCTAGCCGATGCGTACCAGGTGCTACGAGGGAGGCATGAGCAGCTAGGGCCAATAGCTCAAGTGCTACTTCTACGCAAGCTCTTCTCGACTAACTTCACTCGAGATCGACGCCTTGCAACCACCGCACGGGAACTCAGTGAAATGGCAAGCCGAGTCATGCGCATGGGTCCTATGACAGAGAACCGTCTCTTCGCCACTGGCTTGATGAGCGTCCTGTCTAAGGAGTTCCCGATCATCAGCAACGAGCTCGCTCACCAGCTGTCATCGAACCACCATCACGCCGATTTCGATGCACGTAATATCTTACACCGCCTCGACATCGAGCAGAGCGCCATCGACGCTGCGAACTCAACGACGCTGGGCGAATCGATCCTAGCAACCACGACGAAAGCACAAGCTGGCTCTCGTGTGGTCTGCAGGACGTGCGGAGGGCCTCACTCCTCAGCTACATGCTGGGGCCCAGGGGGAGCTATGGAAGGTCGTCGACGCGAAGTCTTAGATGCCAGGGACAAACACCGCTCTAGCGAGGACGTGAAGACGACGCCCAAGCGAGCGCCCATCGGCCGTCGCTTCAAGGCCGAGGGCCGTATCTGGATCGGTGATGACCACTCTGGTAGGGCGTATCTCATCGGTGACGACCCAGACGCGTCGTCATCCACGGCACCCCCTGCAGAGGACTCCGACTTCGCGGGCTTAGCATCTGACACGCTACAGCCAGCTGAGGTTGCCGAGATGGATGACGCAGACCTCCAAGAGTATGACGCATACTTCCTGTCGTCTGAGGGCGACAGCCTGCATACCCACGTCGACTGGAGCAAACACTCGACGGCCGCTGAGCACGCCCTGTGGATGTCCAATGCTTTGAATCAATCGAAACCCACTGTCATTGATCCTAGTGTCGTCCCCTTCTACATGGACTCGGGCGCATCCACTCACATCACGAGCGATGCTGCCGACTTCTACTCTTTGTCGCCCATTGAAGCGAGGACGATCCACGGTGTCGGCAGGGCAGTCGTACACGCACGAGGGATAGGCACTATACGCTTGTCTTTCGGTCGCGGCCGGCATCTTGATCTGCACAACGTCCTCTACGTCCCCCAGGCGGCAGTCCGTCTCATCTCCGTGTCCAAGCTCAACGCGGAACGAAACTACACTGTGGTTTTCGGTCCGGACGGATGCTCTGTTGTCAACGCCGCTGGCGTTCGCATCCTCTACGGCGTAGTCACCTCCAAGAACCTGTATCGCCTCGTCGGCTCCACCAGCGCTCTCGCACACCACACCTACTTCGCACCCAAAGTCCCATCCCTATCCGTCTGGCACCGTCGTCTCGGACACGCGAACTACCAGTCCGTACTGGATCTGGCTAGGAAACGCATGGCGACGGGTATGTCAATCGACCTCTCTGTCACTCCACCTAAATGTGAACACTGCATCCTTGGCAAACAGGCTCGATCGCATGTTCCAAAGGTCAGAGAGGGTACGAGAGCGAATAGGAGACTGGGCCGCGTACATGTAGACTTGATGGAGCATCCGGGTACTCCGTCAGCTCACGGTAATGTCTATATTATGGACATAATCGATGATTCTACCCGATTCTCCTGGTCTATACCTCTGAAGAGCAAGGACGCTGCATACGCCGCACTGCAGGCCTGGGAGCGAGCTCGGGAGCTCGAAACAGGCCTCAAGACTGGGACGTTCATTAGTGATAACAGCGAGCTAAAGCGATCTGACCTCAAACGCTGGCTCGAGGACCGGGGCACCCAACAGCTATTCACGGCGCCCCACACCTCAGCTCAGAATGGTCTCGTTGAGCGCTTGCACCTTTCGCTGATGAACAAAGCCCGCACGATGCGTCTTGCATGTGGGCTGCCGGTCACGCGGTGGGATGAGTTCGTACTCACAGCTAACTACTTACATGTACGGACTCCGGCGCGCGCCCTCGATGGAAAGACACCCTACGAGGCATGGCACGGAACGAAGCCGGATCTCTCTCACCTGCGGGAGATTGGGGCCCGAGCGTTTGTCCTCGTGCAGAACCACCATAATCCCAAAGTCCTAGCGCGTTCGGTGGAATGCATACTCATCGGCTATTCCCTTGACTCCAAGGCCTACCGGTGCTTCAATAAGGCGACTGGAAAGGTCGGAACATCTTTCCATGTACGTTTCATTGAATCGCACGAGACGGGAGGCGATTCATTTCGCCCCGGCGTTGTACTCGGCGATCCTGCGTTGCCGCCAACTGATACTACGACTGGTGACGTTGTCCCATCTCTCCCACCGCTCGATCCATCTCCGCACGTCGACGCGACGCCTGACGTTGATCACTCACCCCCACTGCAACCTTTCGAAGACAGCGGACTGCGACGGTCGTCTCGGGTCTCTAAACCCACCGAGAAACAAGCGCTCGCTGACAGTCTCAAGTATGTGACTCGCCTGGAGGACGTCAAGGCGTCAATCAATGCTTTCTTTGTGGATTGGGATCTACCGGTGGATGAGGACAACTCGGACTCTGATGAACACGTGCTCTACGTCGATCCCACCTCTATCAAAGAAGCGCTGGCACGCGACGACGGGCCCGAGTGGGACAAAGCGCTGAAGAAAGAATTCGCGAGCCTGAAGGAACAGGGCGTTTACGTCGTCATTCCACGCGAAGACGTACCCCCGGGTCGAAAGATCATGAAAGGTCGAGCCGTTTTCAAGCTCAAGTGTGACGAGGACGGAACGCCCGTTCGTCACAAGGCTCGCTGGGTCTGTCGTGGCTTCGAAGCCGTCTTCGGGGAGGACTACTTCAAAACTACCTCGCCCACTGCACGCTTAGAATCGTTCCGCATCTTATTGCATCTGGCAGCGGCGTTAGACCTAGAATGCGAACAAGTCGACGTCAAGACGGCTTACTTGTATGGCCGGCTAGAGGAGGACGAGGCGTGCTACATGGAGCAGCCGAAGGGCTTTGAGGAGCCGGGGACTGAAGGGATGGTGTGGAAGGTACTGAAGGGGCTCTATGGGTTGAAACAGGGCGGTCGCGTGTGGAACAAGACTATGCACGATGCCATGATCTCTTGGGGCTACACTCGACTATCATGCGAACATTGCATCTACGTCCGTCGAGAAGGCTCCGACATCACCATCGCTGCCGTCCATGTCGATGATTTCTGCATCGCGGGCAGTACGCAGAGTTCTATTGACCGGTTGAAGATGTCTATGAAGACTCTATGGCAGATTTCGGAGCTAGGCTCGTCGAAATTCTGTGTAGGCATCGCTATCGCACGCGACCGCGATCTTCGTACGGTGTCCCTATTGCAGACTGCTCTCATCGACCGAGTTCTAGAACAATTCGGCATGGCAAACGCGAAACCAGTCGCCACGCTGCTGGAACCGAACTTCCAGCTAGCGCGTGTGCCCCATGCCACGCTTGATGCCGCCCGACGTGCAGAACTAGCGAAGATACCCTACAGGTCACTCGTCGGATCACTCAATTATCTCGCTGTCGGTACGCGTCCAGATTTGGCCTTTGCTTGTCAATTCCTAAGCCAGTTCCTGGACGCGTACGCCGAAGAGCACTTCGCTGCGGCAAAACGCGTTCTACGGTACCTCATCGGTACCCGAGACTTACAGCTAGTTCTGGGCGGCCGGTCGAGCGCGGATCTGACAGGTTTCACTGACTCGAACTACGCGGCATGCGAAGAGACCCGCCGCTCCGTAACCGGTTATTGCACGTCGCTTGGATCAGGCGTTGTTTCTTGGTCCTCACGAAAGCAACCGATCGTAACGTCCTCAACGTGCGAAGCAGAATACGTCGCCACGAACGCCGCAACTAAGGAAATTATCTGGGTTCGCAATGTCCTCACCGCCCTCGGTTACACGCAGTTGCACCCGACGCCGCTATTCTGCGACAACCAGGCCACTATCAAAATTTCGGAGGATCCATCAAACTTCTCTCGCACGAAGCGCATCGACGTTCGGTATCATTTCATCCGCGAACGCGTCGACGACGGTACGATACAGCTACGATACATCCCCACATCGGAAAACATTGCCGACATCTTCACCAAATCACTACCCAAACCGTCCTTCGTGGCACTCCGTCGGATGTTGGGCTTGCGTTGACGATTCAGCAGCGTGAGGGGGGCCAGGGACTCGGTATAGGGCTAGGTCTCAGGAGGAGTTGGAGAGAGGGACCGCGTCTTCGCAGTGAGGAGGAGTGTCGGGATTAGGAAATCCCATAGACACTGCGAGACGCGACTGTGGCGAGCATGTGGCGATGTTGACGCGCCGATCCGAAGCGGAATAGAAGTTCGATACTATACAGGCGGCTCAGCCACTCGCTTTCCCTCACTTGCTTCTACCACGAGCAAGAGAGGGTAAGCCGCCGTTGTTTTATCATACATGATAGAGAACTTACATACAAGCCTAGGTCTAACAGTGCCTAGGTACATAATACACTTGCTTCTACCACGAGCAAGAGAGGGTCTAACAGTGCCTAGCTTTAACACTGTCGACCTCCAAGTGGGCCTCATTCTTGAGTAGATGTATTCTCCTTTGTACATCCAGTAAAAACCCTGGTAAAACCAGTAGATGTATGCTAGAGGTTGTTGTGTAGACAAACGCGTATAGTACAGTATCCTTGCGTGGCAACCAAAGTGACATAGTGTCCTTCGGGTCCAGGTGTGCCCACTAGGGCCTTGAGTCTCTTCAAAATGAGGGAGGATAGAAACTGAAAGAAAAGCAGGTGAGCCGCTGGACATGGTCCGGCCCATATCCGGACCGTCGCTTCGGCAAAGCCCGGTGGACTTGTATCCGCCCGCGTCAGTTGTGCAAAGTCAGCTCCGCCAGGCCCCGTGAAACTCCCACCTATGTCTCTCCGTCAAAACATAGGATTTTGGTCTCAAATATGCCACACCGGAGGTCTAATCCTCATGTCAAATATGCTAAGTCGGAGAGACATCGGTCATGTGATAGCTCAGATTGCGTGATGTAATACTGATGACTACAGCCCTACAGGGGCTCACCGAACACGTTACGAGAGGTTACAAGTAGTCAATCACAAAGATGGCGCTGCCATTTTCCCGCCCGGAATCTTGATCTTGGGCAAAACCTGTCGAATCGCTGGCTTCGTGAGAGCCTTCCAGTGCGAAGCCGCATCGAGAGTGAGTCTTAGTGGATAGGAAGAAGGCTCGCCAGCAGATCGCTTGGTGAAGGCGAGGAGACCCAGGTGATATAGGACTTCGTCAGAAGACACGATGTAAGTGTGCAGCTCATGATTGAGGTGGTATGGGCGGAAAAGGACGGGGCCGGGGATGTCGTCACCTGAATCGTCGTACATAAAATCATCATCGCAATGGGCCGGGATCTAGACAGAAGGAACATTTAAATCAGGGTGAATACAATAAAGAAAACACACTCACCGGCTCAAAAGGGATGAAAATGCGCACCGCGAGAGACGTGATCTCGTCAATACTATCAACCGACTCAAGAGAGTTATGCCGGCTTGCTTTTGCTTCAGATTTGTAGTAGAAATTGAGGACCTCACCAATGTATATGCGGACAGAGTTCCGGATGATAATGTGTGATCCGATTACTAGGGGATAGAGGCTGGTCACGTTGCGCGTGTGGAGCTGTGGTAAACCTAACATATAACCCGTCAGTCACACCAATGCGGCGAACAGACAGCATTGACTTGCAGACGTACCTCCGTTGGGTCCGAGGACTTCCCTGATTCTATGCGCGGTCCCAATCCAGCGCATCAACCCCCTGCGAGCGCTGTCTTGGGAGTTCTCTTCGTGCTGGAACTGAGCAACGCGAGCACGGTGGGAGGCTTCTTGAATAGACATCTTCTCTATCCCTTCGCGTGCCCGGATGACTTTGTTCAGCGAAGTTTCAGCGGCAAACTTCGGGTTGAGCCCTGCTTCTCTCTCAGAATGGACGTTTGTGTGAGATTGACAGCGTCGGCGGGAGTCGAGGACTTTAATGATAGAGATTTTGTGATCTTCATCCAGGATTTCGCTTCGTGCAGCAGCGTATTGAACAGCAGTTGAAGAAGGAGCTAGATGAGAAAATATAACGATTAGTGCAAGGGTCGCTGATTAGAATAAACACTTATACAATTGAAGTACGTAGCGGCTGGAAGAGAAGGCGAAGGCTGCGCATCTGCAACTCGGATCCAACGGCCTTGCTCCGACAAGGTCACGTTCTCGTCTATTGCAGCGTCTAGATCTTCACTGAGTGGAGCTGTTTCGTCGATTGGCATGCAATACAAAAAACGGAGTGCGGTTCGACCTTATCCGTATATGGGTCGTCTTCGAGGTCTTTTCTACGCTGGGCCTCGGAGCGTCGGTGCGTCCCACTTTCCTCGTCTTCATCCTCTCCGTCACCCTCATCATCGTCACCATCACCACCACCGTCCCCACCACCGTCCCCACCGCCGTTCCCACCGCCGTTCCCACCTCTATCTCCACCTCCTCCCGAGTCACCTATGCCCGGGCCACCATTACCCCCTCCTTCATTGACGTCTGGGCCATCATCAAGAGGTGGTTCTTTTCGCTTGCCACTACATCCGGTGTCAGCATAGCTCACGATAGGTATTAAGGTACTCACAGAACCACCGAAGAATTGCACGCGTTAACCATAGGCTGTGAGCGACTCCTAAGGCGCGAGCCCAAGAAACCAACACACGCAAAAAAACCACAGAAGAAGGTAGACGTCGAAGCCCTATACAGGACAACAACGAGAGGGAAGGCGGGGTAGGGTTGACTGCTCGCCGACGTGGCAAGACTAGGTGTAGAGTTGTTAGGAGGGATTCCCACAAGAACTCACTTAGAGTCTTGGGGCGTGGATTGCTCAGGCTATATACAAGTACAGGATGTTTGGTCGAGCCAAACAGACTAGCTAATATGGTAATGACTGTGTGCGCACAGACCAAGCAGTGCGAGGTACTACTACTAATGGTAAACGAGTGACGTATGAGTGTCGCCATATATGACGCGTTGATGATGTTATGATGAAGTCATAAAGAACGTCCGGGAATGTCATGGAATGATTATGTAAGCCGGGTAAGTAAAGTAACCGAACCGGGTCATGTGACCGGTTATTGAGGTAGCCGGTCACGTGACCTATTGCACCAAGAAGTGAAGCTGCGACTTCAACGACGATGCGTGAAATGTAAGTAAAATATATAGTGACATGACTGGTCATGCTGTCGTGAATGCGATCGCGACATAGGCAAGTGAATAACCACTGCCAATGGTTCAGTCGGGACCCTAGGACATCGTAAGCATCACTGTTATTATCGGCGAAATGTTACTCACATCTCGGTTTGGATCTCTCTTAGCACCATCTGCTTCGCCGCCTCCAGCTGACTGTGACCAATCAGGTTGGGGTCCTGCTTTCGGCACAACGTAGCCATGGCCAGGAGGACAAATAGGCCGCATGACCACCCATCAACCTGCTGCTCACTCGTTGGTGGTACCTGCATGCGCCGTGTCCACTTTACCCAAGGTATGCTCTCGCCATTGATGAATTCGCACACTGTGTCCACCACTGACTTGAGCCCCTGTACAGGTGTCAAATGCACGCTAAGAACTGTGCAAAGGTAACGCACCGGGACAGCCCAATATTCGGAGTGGAACTGGGGTAAGCTGTCGAACACTCCGTATTCTCGCTGACTGAAGTCGACCCAAGTAAGCACCCAATGTGCTGGATTACCGCCGCACATTGGAATGAACCATCGCGGGCGGGATGCAAGCTCCTGTGGGACCTTTGATGGACACTGGGCAAAAGTGAGTGAAATCGTCAGTGTTATGTACTCGGATGTGCTCACCGCTGCAAGGATATGTTCTTCCATCATCACTAAAAGTGCGGTGGACTTACATGCAAGCAATAAGGTCCACAATCGCTTACAGGGAGCATAGTGGTCAAAGCGACTTAGGTTACCTCGCAAGTCAAACAAAGTAGCTTCAACTTTGACAAGACGAGGAGGGTTTGACAGAAGCCGATTCGAGCGTGCCAGCATCCCGCTAGGGTTACAAGGCTGAGTCTGCTTATAGGCGATGTGACCCTTGTAGGCTGTACAGGCGCTGTGTACGATGCAAGGCCAGGTCATGAGTGCAGTGGACTATAGCAATCACATCTCTTACACGCCAATTTATGATTATAGCACACTTGTAATTTTCCATTGTTATACCATCCATGAGCCGGACTAATGTACAGCAGCTATAGTACATGACAAAAACTAACATAATCATTGACAACACGAGAGAGAACACGAAGCATACAGATGGTCAAGAACACATACAACTCGAGTGGACGAGAAAAGGGGCTCAAGAAATTACCTTGAAAGCGCACAATAAGAGAGTGGCAAATAAGTATCATGACACGAGTGACGAGCTACAGAAGTAAGCACGTTAGACTCAGAAACACGACAGAATAAACACACGAGAGGGTATGATGACCGTATTCTGAGGGCCGGGACGCACATCTGTTGTCTTGGTAGGCAGTCTGTCTTCCGAATTGGGGCGGGGAGATGATAGGCGGCGAGAGGGTGGTGCATCGTGACGGGGAGAAGGATGGCGGCAAGGGGAAGTCAGGCGAGAGATGGCCGTCTCTTAAGTACCAGAAGCTCTGGCATTCCAAAGTCCTTCTGCTTCTTCTACGCCCTTCTGTCTTTTCACCCATTCCCGCTTCTCTGCTTCTCTTGCTTCTCCCGAACCTCCTGGACCGTCATCGGAGTACTGTAGTGTACTCCTGCATTCTGAGGTAATATTCATCTATGCTATTTTGGCTTTTGGTATGTATAATTGATTTCGGAGAACGCAATGGTCGCGAACATTGCCAAGGAGAACATAGGAGAGTTTCCGCATATGTCATCGGAGTCTGAAAATGAATTCGCGGCGATGTCGAGTCCATGTTGTTTCTTCACCGCTCCGCATGCGTTGTCAGACATACAGGAAAACGCTCTTGGGCAGAACACTTGTTCTGGGCGGCTTCCCTTTGACAGCACATGTTGGATTTTGCCCCAAAAACCAAAACCCACCTCACACGTTATCAGAAGCATGAGTTGTTCATTTGTGGGTTACTAACCCTAACCTTAGCCCGGAGTAGTGCGCCAGCGCGTACAAGCCCGTTGTCAGATTGTGAGTAGTCTTGTACTCGGGTATCAAACATACACGATTCTGGCAAGGCAGCGACATAAACAGGGTGATAATGACAAGCTGACTTGATGCCTTGTGAAACGACACCCCATTTAGACAAGTCTCACATTGCTTTACATTTCGAGCATGAACTTCACAGCGCCTTGCAGACGCGATTTGAGTTCTGCAGACCTCCGATATATTTTACAAGAGCTCGTAAATGAATGTAATCTCTCAGAATGCATGATAAATTCAACCCTGTTCTGACAACGGCCACAGTGGTCGATTGTCCGGCCGCACTTTCTGTGATGATGGTGCCGAACCCCTTCGGAGGATCATTGTTGCCCACCACGGCTCCAGGGTAGGAGGACAGGAAGGCGTAGTCACCAGCGCCTCCCTCATTTTGTTGCAGTATAGCGCCATATGCATTAATGACAACTCCAGGTACTTTGCGCTTGTGATGACCGGGCTGCAGGCAGTCTAAGTCACTTGGGATGACTTCGATATTACGAACCTTCCAAGGCGGCATTCTCTTGCGGGGGTAGGAACTGAATTGAATCCTGATGAGGTTGAAGGGGAGCGGTGAACTCAATACGAAAAAGTTACCACCATTGGCGATTTCTCAGATAGGCAGGACGTCGGGCTGCTTCGGGAGCCAGCAAACAGTCGGCATGAATAGGCCATATGTTACTTTGCTACTGTAGGTATATGCTATGACATTGATGATCAACCTACCGTCCTCTGAAATATGCCAAGCTACGGAGAGACGTCGGTAAATTTCCGTCTGGCCACCTCTCGAATATGCCAACAGCGGAGAGACCTTCCTTCCTAATTTGGACATATAATATGCCAGTTGGCGGAGAAACGTTGGCAGAAGATTCCCGGGGCCTGCTCCGCCTCCCTTACATCCCTCAACTTGGTATGATGAATCTTGGCCCACAAACAATCATAGAGCATCGAACCACTGGTTATCCTGGTGCGCTCGTTTTATGACAGGATTAGATTGCAATGCAGGCCTAACAACACGCTGTGACGAAACCAGAAACCTGTGCTGGGTTCTTCCCATGAGGCATTTGGAGACGTAAGTTGGTTACGCCAGCGCCTAATCAGCCCCTCTTCTTTTGCATCAACGCCAATCCATAGACATGTATCGATTAACCCATACATTCAAGCGCATGCGGATATGGAGCTCTGAACAGGACGCGCCTCTATGCGCTGTATGCGCGAAACTGGACATCTGGCGCATGTTGCACGACGGCCTCCCCAAGGACAACGCCATCTACCTCGGTACCCTTCCAAACATCCTCTCTCGTGCGGATGACTGCGCCCTCTGCTCGCTCATCTCCACCGTCGTCAGGCGCACCTGGCTCTTGGACAGGAAGACATTCCACGCTAACCTCTCAGAGGTTGATCTGTCCATTTACTCCCAGGAATGTGGATGCCTCCGCGTTCCGGAACCGCCCACCCGCGAGCTCGCTCATCGACTTTGTGTCACTCCTTCTACGCGCCCAGCTGAGGTTATTGCAGCCATGGCTGCCGCGGAGACGAACCTCATGCTCGAGATGCAGCTCATGGAAGAGGACGCCCACCAACTGGGGCGAAAGGTGGAACTCCACGGGCGGGTAGTGAAAGAGACAGTAGACGTGGACCTGGTCAAGGGCTGGATGGCGTTGTGCGAAAGAGAGCATGGGGCACAGTGCGAAGAGTTATGGTGGAGAAAGAGCGAGGAGACGTCTCTTCCACCTGTGGTGCGCGTCATTGATGTTCAAGATATGTCCATCGTACCCATCCCTCCAAGCTGCCGCTATCTCGCCCTCAGCTATCTGTGGGGACGCAACGGCTCTTCGTACTGGACCACCAAAGAGAACCTACCTAGTCGCATGCAGCCTGGAGGTCTGCCCATCTGTGTCTTACCCACCACTATTTCCGATACTGTCCTCCTGACACGTCAGATGGGCGAACAATACCTATGGGTTGATGCCTTGTGCATCGTGCAGAACGACCTCGACGACAAGCTCGCCCAAATTCACCTCATGGACCGCATATATGGCTGTGGGGTTCTCACTGTCTTCGCTGTAGGCGGCATTAGTGCCGACGCTCCTCTTCCTGGTTTCCGACCTGGAACACGTACCGTCGCTCAACGCGTCGAAACAATACAAGGCTTACGTTTCGCCGTCCCTTTACCCACACCCCGCGAATCGCTCGCCCATACCCACTGGGACACGCGTGGATGGACATAACAAGAGCTCATTCTCTCCCGCCGTCGCCTCTTCTTCACGCCAGATCAAGTATACTTCGAATGTGCCAGCGACGTCTGGGCCGAAGACCTCATTGCTGAAAGCAATGGCAAAGCGTTGACACGGAGCCAACACCCCCTGACTAACGCCGGCGGCGGCCGCGTCATGTTCATGACCCGCCCGCCCGCGTTCCTCCTGCGCTCGCGCGAGTGGGTGCTTGGGTACATGGACCGCGTGACGGAGTACTCAGAGCGCAAGCTCACCGTCGAGGACGACATTGTGAACGCCATCACCGCGCTCACGAACGCATTCGCTCAGGGGTTCGAACTCTCGGGAGGAGATCCATCCCAGGCCTTCCGGTATGGCATGGCGGTCACAGACTTGGATCAGACGCTACTGTGGCAGCCGAGGCCTGATTCTCCGCTCACAAGGCGCGGTTGTGTGGGTGGTGATAGCACCCGCTCGCCTTGGCCATCGTGGGCATGGGCGGGATGGGTAGGTCCGATCCGCTATGCGAGCGATATGCAATTTGTCGCTCTGCACTACTCGCACGACTGGCCACGTCCGATGGAGTCTCTTGTGGACAAATGGCACGTCGTCGAGGAGGACGCTGGTGCGCTCGTTCACCTCGGCCTGCGACCCATCAAGCGCATCGTGTTCGATGGCAGCGAGAAGGGGCTGTATGAGCCCCCACGATGGGATGCAGCGGTCTGGGAAGCCGAAGCATCGGGCTTGAAAACGCTCCGCGCTGGCACGCTTGTGTTTCGCACAACGGTTTGCTGGATGGTGGTGGAGAAGAACCAGTCTGCAGACGGACAAATCGGCGAGCACCACACGCTGTTCGACATCTTCCCCGGAAGCGACACAGACAGGTGCCACTTTGCAGGCCGGATCGTTCTTCCAAGGTCACATCCTAGTCCATCGCAGGTTCAACTTATCGCGCTCTCTCGCACAGACGGCATTAATGAGATGTATGACGCGGACTTCTATGGCAATTCGTATGAAGGCTGTCTTTTGTACGTCATGGCTGTGAAGGTGGTCGATGGAGTTGACGTGCGTGAGAGGCTCGGTGTCGGGGCTGTTTTCGAGAAGGCTTGGTTAGACGCGGAGACGGTCGATGATATCGTATTACTGAGGTGATTGTACAAGCATGGGCAACGAGGACGGATGTGCTCTTATTTTATTCCAATCGCGCACCACGACAACCTATCAGCTTTCGTCAAGAATGTTGGAATTCTGTGTTCGTTATCGCTCGCATCATGACGTGTCGTACATTATCTTATTATATCCGAGTTTTCGTAGTATATATATCATGTCGTAGCTAGTTGAATCTTCACGCGATTGCCCTTCGGGCACCCTCCTCTTGCCCGGGACAAACGCGCTGTGCGTCGTCGCGAGCCCGTGCGACCTCGATTTTCTACACAATCGCGTCAGGGTTAGCCACCCTTCACCACCGCTGAAGTCGCCGGGACTCGCGCCGCCACAGTCCCACGCCGTCGAGGCCTTATCGCGCGCCGGATCGCCTTATTGCGCCGCCATCACCTCCCCTCGTCGTTCGCCGCTTCCCCCTTGCTGCTTGCAAGAGCGCACGCCCGGCCGCCGCACCGTCTCTCGTGCGCCGCCGTCGCCGCTGGACCTTTGCGTAAGTCCTCCGTTGAGGCCACTTCCCGCTGTGTGCCGCGCCTGCCGCCGCTGCTCCTCGCACGCCGCCGCTTGCCCCTGCCGCCGCGCTGCCACTCGCCGACGCTGCCGCCGCTCTCGCGTGCCGTCGTAGAACCCGCCGACATCGCTGCTGTCCCCGCACGCCGTCATAGCCCCGCCGCCGATGCCTGTGTCGTCGAATCGCCCGCGTGAGGGCCGAAGAATCACGCACCTGCGCCCCCGGTCGCCGAAAACCGCCCGCCGTTGAACCCGCCGCCGCCGCCGCCGTCGTCGAACCGCGCCCCTAGTCGCCGAAAACTAGCCGTCGCCGCCCCGTGAAGTTGCCGTCGCCCGTCGTTGTTTCCCCGCCGCCGCGTGCCATTGTGCCGCTGTCGTCTCCTCCCTCGCCATTCGCCTCTCATTCGCACCCTGCGCCCTCAAAAGCGGAGATTGGGTCTTCAAGTCGTTTGTTGTTGGATTTCGTAGGATTGGGAACCCTCTCGAGTTTGAGGGGGTGCATTGTATGTTTCATTTCGTCGGTTTTCGCTCGTTTTGTGCTGTTTTACCCCCTCGTCATCGTTGCTCGTTTGTTTTGCCTTGCATCGTGTTACCTTCGTCGTCGTCTGCTCATTTTTTACTTCGCGTCGTCGCCCGATTTTGTTACGTTACATTTGCTCGCTTGTATCGAACAAGGGGGTGTGTTGGAATTCTGTGTTCGTTATCGCTCGCATCATGACGTGTCGTACATTATCTTATTATATCCGAGTTTTCGTAGTATATATATCATGTCGTAGCTAGTTGAATCTTCACGCGATTGCCCTTCGGGCACCCTCCTCTTGCCCGGGACAAACGCGCTGTGCGTCGTCGCGAGCCCGTGCGACCTCGATTTTCTACAAAGAATTGGCTTGTTCATAATACCGGGCTCAAGATATTCGTCTTGTAGGCGCATCGTGCGATCTTGGTAACGTAATCTCACCCTCTTCGTCCTCCTTGCATTGATGGCCGCCGTGCAGATGAGAATTGTAGGCTTATCGCCATCGATTACGGTGTCGTACATGCCAACGAGGACAATTCGATAAAGCTATGTGCGCTCAAGCGGACGCACCGCCGCTCTGGCCAGTCGAATATGATAAACATGCAGCTTGTAAGGGTCGATTCTTTCATGCCTGTTAGATGCATATGGGAACAACGTTCGTCCAGGAAAACGTTTTCAAACTCTCTCAAGCATTCTAGATGTTTGTGGAGCTGTGAGAGCTTTTTGTCAACGTTATTGGCATTGACGAGCGCATCGTCGCTATTCGCGAGCATGGTAGATTTCGGACCGAATATTCAATCTCTCATGTTTGCCGCCATGCCGATTGCAACGTTATCTACCCTATTTGCATTTTCGCAGAACCCTCTGGACAACTGTGGAGCCAACATGCGAAACTCACATTGTGTCGGTCCCTAAGCGCGTGGTCGGCAATCTTTGAGAAGAGTTCTCGACGAAATGAAGGCGGCGAACTTCGAGCACATATGAACACTATTTGTGGAACAGGACTAACGTCACTGGCGGCGACCTGCCAATGGTAAGCAAGTGGCGGTGTAGTCATTGTCCGCCGCACTCTCCGCCGTCGGCAGATTCTTAAACAACCTTCAACCATCTCGCGCCATCGCCAATTGCGGCGCCATCCGCGAAATAGCTTGCCGCCGAGGTGCCTATTCCTCTGTGTTTCATGAGAGACTTTGGCCACGTTTCAAGCAAATAGCATATGAAGGAGGAGAAGGCTGTAAACATCTGGCGATTACATACAGGAAGGTGAGTGCGAGCCGAATGGTTTTCCACCTCCAAGCCAAAGCCTTAATTTGCTTACGTTTCCGTCCAGCCACCCTCGTTATTTTCATCTCCGTATGTACTTCGGCAGTCGAGTTTCACTGGTGCCCTGGTTCCCTATCCTCGTATGGTTCTTTGCGTCATGCTCGGCTGCTCGAACGAGGAAGATTTTCGCGCATCGTCCTAAAGTGTCTGTTGACTAATGGGTTCAACAATGCTCCACTATTCTAGCGAGTATGCTGTCCAGACCCTAAACGTTTCTGCTCCACTCTTCGATCTTCTTCGTGTTCTTCGCGTATCGGAACCGTCTGGCGTTTCATGTATCCGGCGTTGTCTCCTCCCAATTCGTTCTCGCAAGCAGGGAGAGGCCTCTACTCTTTGCAAATTTTGTAGGGTCTTCGTTACTCAACACATCTGGCGCTCATGGAGCTCGCTTATCTTACTTCTCGAAATGGTGGACAATCCACGACTTGGCTGTTTGCGACGACCTTAGGCATCCGGTCCGAGCTTGAGGGTGTCGCAGCATAAATACCGGGCTCGTTCTCGACGACAAAGACCAGCACCAGCTACCCAGGTCTCCTCTCCAGTCGCCTTTTGCGCCTCTACCTCTTTAATCACCTCTTTCGTCTACTTTCTACTTTCTACACTTTCTTACCACCATGGGCGACTACTCGATGGACCACCAAGAAGTTATGTTCAACCCCAAGGCCATGCCTTTCCGGAAACTTGGATCTAGCGGTCTTCGTGTCCCGCTCTTCTCTCTGGGAGGATGTACGTTCACCTTCGCTCTGTTCAATTTTTTTTTCTCTTTGACGCTGACCTTGCTATCAGGGCTCACAATGGGTCTGACCGTCAAGGGCGACCCGGTGAAGGAGATCGTCCGGACTGCATACGAGCACGGCATCAACATGTTCGACACCGCCGAGAACTACGCGCAAGGCCAGTCGGAAGTCGAGATGTATGGCGCCCCTCGTCCCTCTCCTCGTCCCTATTCTCACTTTGAGCTACTGCAGGGGTCGCGTCATCCGGGAGCTTGGCCTCCGGCGCAGCAACATCATCGTCTCCACGAAGCTGTTCTTTGGCGAGCAGACTGAAGGTCCGAACGACATGGGTCTCTCGAGAAAGCAGTACGTCCTTCGTGTCGCTGCTTCAACCTTCCAGACCACTTACTGGACTGCCTTAGCATCATCACCGGAACGCAAGCAAGCTTGAAGCGGCTTGGCCTTGAATACGTCGACGTTATCTTTGCGCACCGGTCTGATATGACTGGTAAGTCTTGGATTATCTCCTGTGAAGATGTAGCCTAACTTTATTCCTCCAGTCTCGATAGAGGAGGTCGTTCGCGCGTTCAACTACGTTCTCGACAAGGGCTGGGCTTTCTACTGGGCAACATCAGAGTGGTCCGCCTACGAAATCGAAGAGGCTCACCGTAAGCGCCTGCGACTCTGCTTTGCACGCTTTTGCTGACATTGTTCTCAGACATCGCCGAGAAGCTCGGCATGCAGGGTCCTATCGTTGAGCAGTGCCAGCACAAGTAAGCACCTTCATTTTCTCAACCGCTTTAGCTCTAACATCTTCCGAAGCATGTTCTGCCGCGAGCGACCAGAGAAGGAGTACAGCCCTCTGTACAAAAAGTACGGCGTTGGAAAGACAGTCTTCTCCGCCCTCGCAAGCGGTCTGCTCACCGGCAAGGTAAGATCGTGTCTCCTTTTCTCAACGCAACCGCGAACTCATTTAATGCGACATAAAGTACAACAACGGAGTCCCAGAGGGCTCTCGCTTCGCCGACCCCGCCTGTGGTGCTCGCTTCAAAGGCACGGTCGAGAGCTTCTCGCGCCAGGAAGGTCAGGCCAAGCTCGACAAGGTCCGGAAGCTCAGCGAGCTCGCGCAGAACGAGCTTGACTGCACCGTCGGCCAGCTCGCGCTTGCGTGGGTCGCCCGCGATCCGAACACGAGCTCGGTCATCCTCGGCGCGTCCAAGCCCGAGCAGGTGCTCGACAACCTCAAGGCGCTCGACGTCATCCCGAAGCTGACGCCCGAGGTCCTCGCGAAGATCGACGATATCCTGGAGAACAGGCCTGCGCCGCCGGTACGTTCTGCTTCTTCTCTGCTACGCGAGTATTTCGGAGTAATTGGTTTCTGACACTGATGTTCTATTCTTGGGTGCTTGCAGTCTACCTTTGGTCGCCCACCACTTGATGCATTTATTCCTTGCGTCTGAGGAGAGGTCGGTGAGGAATGGCTAGCTGAGCTAGCTGTTATCGCATTGTATATCGATTAGAGTCCACACTGTATCTATACCGTGTTTTAGTTTACCAAATTGCATGCACTTGCATTCTTACGTTTGATTCCACTCCTTATAACTCTGGTTTAAATTGCCGGACTCGAGAACTCATCAAATCGACGACGTACCGGAACTTACAAATTAAACGAACGAAAGAACCCAAAAAGAACCTCGAGATGAATTCTCCGAGGCTTTGCCGAAATTATGGAGGTCAGGCTTCTTTCGCGCGATGACTAAGTACATCTGACGCCGAGGGCACTTTCAGTGGCGACTTCTTGAATGGTCCAACTTGATCTCTCACCAATCTCCTAGTTCTCTTATCAACAGGTTGACCGCCACTAGAACAAACCCAAGGACAGAGAGTCCCGTAAGTGCTTCGGTCGGGCGCTCGCATGGCGCAGCCCAGCATTGCTATTCGTGGGGGTGCGGGCGCCCGGTTGATGCGCAAGTCAGCCTTATTGACTGTCGTGGGCCTGCGGTTAAATGACTCCCCGGATGGTTGATTAATGTTATTATCCGGAGTGCACGCGTCAGCAGGTTCAACCATGGGTTCCTGAACTCCACCTGCTCTATGTATACATACATTGGGCGCCAGGGAGTTCTGATATCTCGACCCGGACAATGTTAGGGCTTGACACGGCGTTGTATCGTAAGTCATACTTTTGGGAGGACACCGTGATGCAAACTGCGATGTTCTGCATAGAGTATGTCATAGCATCACAGCAAGCGGAGACACACAAAGCAGCCTCTACACCCAGAGGCAAGCAAGTAGACGCGAATTTGTCTCGACATACAGGACACTTTCCCATAGTAACAACAAAACATGCGGAACGGTACACCCGATAGCTTGCTGACTGAGCAATCGTAGGTGGCAAGAGCACACGTCAGACGGATGTGATACCACAGTGAGATCATACGTATAAAGGCCCTCACCACTATCAGCGGGCTCTCTTCCTTCGCTCCCCCCGTAACATTTCCTCTCCTCAGCCCACTCTCCGATCCACTTTACAAAAATGTCCCAGGTCGTAAAGCAAGAGTTCAACCCCAAGAACATGCCATTCCGCCGCCTTGGCCCCAGCGGCCTGCGCGTGTCGGTGTTCTCCCTCGGAGGATGTGAGTAGTCCGCGAAATCCATGTGTGCTAGATGTCAGCTTATCGATTTCGCCAGGGCTGACGCTTGGCGGCACCGTTATTGGTGACCCTGTCAAAGTATGTACCTCACGCGTCAAACCCCAGCCTTCCTCTAGCGGCTCACTAAGCGACTCCATTATATAGGAAATCATCAAGGTCGCCTTCGACAATGGCATCAACATGTTCGACACCGCTGAGGGCTACGCAGCTGGGCGCTCCGAGATCGAGATGTACGTGGTCGTTATCTCCATCATCGATAGGGGTGTCATCGCTGACGCGCGTCACTTTTTGACTTCAGGGGCCGTGTCATCAAGGAGCTCGGCTACCGTCGCTCGGACCTTGTCATTACCACCAAGCTTTTCTTCGGTACTCGCAAGGGTCCCAATGACACTGGTCTCTCGAGAAAACAGTATGTTTGATACTCGCATTTTGATTGATCCGTGTGCTAACTGATTGCTCAGCATCATCGAGGGCACCCAGGAATCGCTTCAGCGTCTCGGTCTCGACTATGTCGATGTACTCTTCGCCCACCGTCCTGACTACACCAGTGAGTCTATCGTATATGCTGTTAGGATATACAGAGTTGACATAGATAACACTTCCAGCTCCCATGGAGGAGACGGTTCGTGCATTCAACTATGTGATCGAGAAGGGCTGGGCGTTCTACTGGGCCACGTCGGAGTGGTCTGCTCGGGACATCGAGGAGGCTTACCGTGAGCGAAATATCTGCTTTCCCTGGAGAAATAATACTCACATCTAAACTAGACGTTGCTGAGAAGCTGAACCTCATCCCTCCCATCGCTGAGCAATGCCAGCACCAGTGCGTCCCATCCTACCCACCTCGTCCACCCTATGCTGACAACAATATAGTATGCTCCACCGTGAACGCCCCGAAAAGGAGTACGACGCCATCTACCGCAAGTACGGCGTCGGGACCACCGTCTTCTCCGCACTTGCGTCTGGCCTGCTCACGGGCAAGTACAACGACGGCATCCCCGAAAACTCGCGCTTCGCCAACCACGCCGACTTCTTCAAGAACACGCTCCAGTCGTTCAACGAAGAAGAAGGCAAAGCGAAGATCGCCAAAGTGCGCGACCTGACCAAGTTCGCCGAGACTGAGCTCGGGTGCACGGTCGGCCAGCTGGCTTTGGCGTGGGTAGCGAAGAACCCGAACACGAGCACGGTCATCCTCGGTGCGTCCAGGCCCGAGCAGGTCCTTGAGAACTTGAAGGCGCTGGATGTGATCCCGAAGTTGACGCCCGAGGTGCTCAACAAGATCGAGGATATTCTGCAGAACAAGCCTGCTCCTACGGTGCGTAACCACTTGAAACGTTATCCTTAGCGCATTTCTAATATGGTGCATCCAATAGCCCTCCTTTGGCCGCCCGGCGCTCGACGTGTTCGGCCGTCTCTAAGTCTGCGCTGTTGTGGTTCAGGAAATGTTTTAAAGGACGTCGCATAGATAGACATCTATATATATGTCCTTGTACTATTAGGCCTCGACTATTAACCATCATGTAACACCAGTTTTTACCCTTGTTTAAGGTCACGCCAACGGCGCTGAAGCTAACGTTGAAGAGCATATGACTTGATTGGATTGTCCAATATGATTATAGCTACAAATGGTTGAATGCTGCTGAATCTATGAAAAAATAGGATATGTTGGAAGGGCCAAAGTGGAAGCGAGGCACCAAAGAAGATCGAACGGGTGGTGTTCGCTGAAAGACGCAGACGTTTAGCAGACGCAGCTGTGCAATCAGTCAGACCCTCCGGCAGCGAGAAGTGCAACGAGCATACGAACCTGCAAAACATAATTATGCGAAAGACTTGTACTCTAATCGTCGTCCTCATCTGACTGCCCATTTTCCGACTCCGTATCTACCTCCGTCGTGGTATCCCCCTGATCACTCCCCGAAGTACTAGCACTTCCACTAGCCCCTGCACTCGGCGCCGCCACCGCGCCCGCGGCACTCCGCCCAGCCTTCCTGGCTTGACTCCGACTTCTTCTCCGACTTCTACTGCGCCCTCTGCTGGACCGTGCTTTCGCATCGATACCGAGCAGCTTCGCGATCGTCTTGATCCACTCGGACACGAGATCCCATCCGTAGTGCGCGGTGAGCCAGCGAGGCCGCTCCCACGCAGCAGTGACGGACCAGAGGACGAAGATAAGGACGAGCACGCCCGCGGCACCGACGGTGCCCCGCGTGGTGAGCGACGTCTGCTGCAGCGCGAGGAAGCAGAATGCGACGACGAAGAAGACCATACTGAAAAGTTTTTTAGGCACGCTGTGGGGTATACTCGGTGGGAGAGGACACATACCCCCAGAGCAAAAGACCGAACGGGAGGCTGTATATGATCGCAAGGGTCTCAGTTCCGAACATCGTGTTCGTCACCGTCGTCATGAAGTACACCTGTTATTGCTACACGTCAACATTCGCTTGTCCCGAATAACCCAAGAGGAAATAACGCGACTTACAGCATCCTCGGCAGACTCGCGCCCTTTCGTCCGGTTCTGCCTGAGCAGCAGCAGGCCAACGATGACCGAGCCCATGCTCGCAACCGTCGAAACATAGCTCGCGATCTGCGCCGGAGTCTGCGGGTACGGCGTGTTTGCTGGCGCATTCTGGTCCGCTTGTGGACTAACGTTCATGAGCGCCAAAAAAGCCACGTTCGAGTTCAAGATAACTGTCGACTACCACCGTTCACACCGCATCAGCACCCGCCATATACTCAAAACAGTCAAACCGAGGGCATGGGTACGCACATATAAAGTATACCCCATCCACTCGTCGTTCAGCTTATCCACGAACTTCTTCCACGGGATGTGGTTCACGAGTTGGTCCACCCAGATCGTTTTGAGCGCCTTCATGTGCACGTCCGGCGCGCCGAAGAGGAATGGCGACATGATGCGCAGCAGGATGGAGCGCCGCCGCTTGTCCCTGTAGTACACCGTCTGGTCGGCATCCAGACGCGCGCCTATTTGGCCGCAAAAGTTGAAGAACCGGGTGCGTGCTATAGGTGAGTGCAAGGTAGGGCGCAAGTTTCAGCGTCAATAACGTGCAGTAATAGATATGGGGTGAGAGGGACGGACCGAACATGCGCATGAAACGTGCTGGGGTGGGCGCAAGTTAGATCAGGCGCTGAGGATAGGGAATGCGGTGGGCGTACCTATTATGCACATGGAGTGCTCGTAGGGTTTGTCGATGCTTCCTGCATGTACGCGGGATGAGTAAGAGTTACGGGTCACGGATGTCAAAAATAGATGCTTGCCTTCGATATGGTCGATGAGCTCGCATATCTTTGTCAGTTCCTCATTGTCAAAAGGCGCCAGTGACGTGTCGGACGTGATGGTTTCTGAAAGGTGCGAGCACGTCGGCTCGACTTTATATCTTCGAAAAAGGATGTGCAACGCACCGGCAGAAGCATGCATGACGATTTCCTTAAGCTCCTCAAAGATGTTTCGTGGTACTTTCCGATTATTTGGATAGAACTCGACGTGCATCCTAGCAACAATCTTGAGACGATAATTGATGTGCATATATGCGCTGAACAACCCACCAAAACTGAGCCTCCATAGCATACTCTGCCAACCGACGTACATCAGAACACCTCTTGGCCCCACCAAAGTGAAATTGACGACTCACTGATATGACTGTAAAACTTTACCCCCTTCACATTACCCAGCATCGGCGCGACATCATAATCATGCAGCCAAAACAAACACCGGTTCCCATGATTGACGAAGTAATACCCAACCTGCCGAGCCTTGCGCAAATGTGCAACCTCGAGAACGAGCTCCCAGTGGGGCGGCATAATTATATTTTCCGTCTTAATCTTTGCCTGGAGATCCGCAATCGCGCGCATGATAGCCTCAAGTGTGCCTTTCTTGATCAAATTTGCGTCAGTGAAGGCTCTCTAAAGGGTTACGTGTTGAGTCTTCGTTTATGAGGAGAGACATGGGACACACCATCTCTGGATGCCAGAAGTAAAGGGCACCTTCCGGGTGAACACGGGATTGCCAACCTGCTCTTCGATATAGTGTGTGACTACGATCATCGCTGGGAGAATTAGGGGGCGGCTTGAGTTATGAACGAGAAAAAGGAGCAAGGAGAACATACTCGCGCATCTCATGAGTGTTCGGAGGAATAATGTGTGTTTTGGTCTTGTTGCGTCTAGAGCCATTGCTCGATTTAGTGAGGTTCCAGAAGCAAGCAATGAAAGACGCACATCTTGACTGCTCTATGATACCGCATCACTTCCGAAGCCGGGATCGGCACGAGCTCACGCTTGATGCGACCTTCGCGCGCTGGATCAGCAGCAAAGTTGACGTGTTGGATAACAGGTAGGGTCTCGACGGGGGCACCAGTGTACGGGAACGGGTAGGGGGTGTTGGGAACGAGCTCGGTGTCGGCGCCTTCTGCTTGTGAAGGGACTCCCGGGACCAGTGCATAGGGCGTTGGCATGTCCATGTGAGACTGTGACGATGCACTTGAATCCGCGCTTATGTTCCTTTCGTATGGACTTCCTGACGATTGTATGGCCAAGGATGAAGAGGACACGAGGTCGGGGCGATCACTTGAGGTGGAGTCATTGTTGCCGGAGGAAGAAGGGGATAGGGATGGGGACGTGCTGCTGAGATTCGATGTCGAGACGGAACGACGACTGTTGGGGAAGGATTGTGTAACCGGAGGAGGAAGGAGACTGCCTGGGACCTGGCTTGGGGCGATGGTTATGACTGTTCGCTTGACTGTTTCGGGTGCGCGTTCATCCTGCAACGACTTTGAGTTCGCACTCAAATTTGAAGGTTGTGGATATCGTATTCGTCGAAAGAGGTGTAGGATGAGTTGTATGGCTCGGGCAGAGCGGAAGTGGGCGGAGGACAAGAAGCGTCTGAACCAAGTGAGGAGGCCGCGCAAGAGAGCGCGAAGAGACCGCGTCATGGGGCGAATAAACGGCGATAGGGGCCAGCTGATGCTGTAGATGTCTGCTCAGGTCGACACAGAGCGTCTTCATACACCCATTCGTCCTCCAAATGCGCTCCTGTGTTGTGCTGTGTGGCCTCGAGGGCGGGCGGGTTGGTGGTGGGGTGGAAGAGCGGATTATGGGCGCTTGTTTTTCTTGGGCACATGCTGTGTCGGTGTAGGTCCAGTCTTTCACGGCTGTCGAAACGGATGGCAGCGCTAAAAGCACAACAACCGTCCTTTCTTCCCTTCTACCACCCCCTTCCCTGACCTACCTTGCTATCGATACCCCCAAGCTGCCCACCAGGCGCCTTTCTGGACGCGATACCCCCCTTCCTTTGAGCGGCTAGGGCCAAGATGACGGTGAGCGCCTCTTCATCATGCGGGGCGTCAAACACAGCGCTGACACTTGCGTGGCCCTCTCAGACTGCCACCAACGGATATACCAACGGCGAGATGGAGCAGGTCACGGTGAAGATACGACCGCTCGTGGACAAGGTTCTCGCTCGATACCCAGAACAGTTCACAGGTATGTGGCCTATCCCGTCTCACCACAGCAGTCACCATAACCGCCTTCCCAGTCTTTCGTGAGCTGTTGCAGAACGCAGACGACGCGAGGGCAACAAGTGCCAAGATACACTTTCGGACGAAGGAGTACAATGACGGAGCGGAAGCAAATGGTCATGGTCACAAGGTCGTCGACCTCACCACCCCTGTACGTCGCGTCGCGTGCCTCGTCTCCCTCGTCCCCTGCCGCACAACTTTGTATTCACTTCTCCGTCAGGTCCATACATGGGTTGTAAGCAACAATGGAGCTGTTTTCGAACCCCAGGACTGGAGTCGCCTTCGGAATATCGGTCGGTGTGCTCCTCTCATCCGTGCTGTATGAGCGCTTAAGGGAAGTTTTTGCAGCCGACGGAAACCCTGGGTCGGACAAGATTGGCGCTTTTGGTGTCGGTGTGTACAGTCATACTTTTTAAGCTATCTTCTCATTTTTAAATGCCCATAGGATTCTTCACCGTGTTTGGGATGACGAACGAGCCAAAGGTGTCCTCGGGAGATAAGTGGCTTAGGATGTTCTGGGAGGGCGAACAGGTGAGCCTTGTATGCGCTCACCTCCTCACCGTTTCTCACAGCTATCACAGCTACGGATAGAGAAGGGCAATTGCCCATCCTATTCCGAGTGGACCGATATCGAGATGATGCTTGAGACTCCCAAACCGGTGCCGGCACCCTTCGACCTCACTCGCTATCTCATTTCCTCCATGACTTTCCTCTCGCATATCACGGAGATTACTATCCTCCTTGATGACCAAATACTCTCGCGCGTTACGTCGACCACAGCCGAGTCGTCATCAGTTGACATCCCGAGTCGCATGACTAAGACCAGCAGGCGAGGGACGATGGAAGTTCAGTCCGTGTCCGTGCGCAGTGCGTAATTCCGTTGCCATTCTCTCTCTCCGTTCCCGATACTCATCGTGGCCACGACATTTTTCAGGACAAGACATCAAAGCCGAGCTTATGCAGGGCATGTCGCAGACTAGCACCACGATCAACAAGAAGTACAAGGCGGGCAAAATTCAGCCTAAGAGCCGCACGGAGAAGATACAAGCTTTCTTCGGAGGGAAGAAAGACAAGAAGGACGGCTCACCTGAGGGCTCCGCGCCCAGTCTCATCGAGCCCTCCGTGTCTACCGGGAGTAACGGTGCTGTGAACGGGACGACGAACGGCACTGGGCTCACACTCGAAATCGACGCGGGAAAGAAAGACGTATATACCGCTCAATTTACCAAGTACTCGACCGACGTTCTCGTGACACCATCGAAAGAGCTCACGGCGGGTCTCAAGAGGGCGACGAACAAGGAACCCGCCTCGGAACTGGAATTCTGTATGACCTATGTATGCGCTCTTTTACCACTTGATTCGTATCATCGTTTCTGACGTTACGATCTTCACAGTTCAGCAAAGAAGAGTTCGAAAAGCGGGAGGAGGAGAACGCTTCGTGCCCAACAGGCAGCGTTTTTCAAGGCCCCGCGGGTTTGTTCTCAAGCGCCGATGGAGAGTTCGCCCCGCGCATCTTTATTGTACGGTTTTCACGCCTTTAACTCATCATACCGTATCTGATGGATTTGTCTGATAGGGCCAAGGCACGTTGCAGACGACCGGTTTTGGCGCCCATTTCGGCAGCCGGTTCATCCCGACCATGGAGCGCGGCACCGTCGACCTCGTCAATGAAGGACCGAAGGAGTGGAACGAAGAGCTTCTCTACGTTGGCGGCTTCCTTGCTCGGCTCGTCTACGAGACGGAGATGAACAAGCTGAAGCACGCCTGGCCAACGGGCAAGGACGACCTCCCGCTCAAGAACGGCCAGGAGGTCGACCGGCTGTTTAAGCAGGGCGTCTACGTCACGCGCTTCTTCACGGGGCGCACCTCGACGCCCGATGCCAAGATCGCGGATCACATCAAGGACGCGTTCTTCCACTGCTCCACCACCGACGAGTTCCCCATCCTCTCGACGCACGGCATTCACAACAGTATCAAGGTCCGGCACCCCGCCGACGAGTACTCCGCGTTCGTGAAGAACGTGCCGCTCACGGCGAAGGAGATAGGGCCAGGCGAGTTGTCACTGCTCAATGACCTGCCGGAGCACCTCCAGATCAGATCTATGTCGTTCAAGGATATCATCGAAGAGCTGAAGGGCCGTGCTTTGGCGTCGCAGGAGGTCACACCGTTCATCCGGTGGTGGGTTAGCATCTTCATGGACTCCGCCAACACGCGCGACAAGCGAACGGCTGCACGCTACAAGCTGTTCGACGTAACCACTTTCACTATTCCCGGGACGACCCCTCGAGGAGGTGGTGGTAGCGGAGGCGGCCTTGGTGGGTTCGGTGGCAGACTAGGAGGGCTGGGCGCTTTCAGCGACTTTGGCATAGGAGGGTTCTCGGAATACGGCGCGGACGGCTCCTCAGCAGGCACGGAGGACCGCGTCGTGCGCATGTCGACGATTAAGACCTTCATTGAGCAGCGCGCCGCGGGCGCGATAAGCACCTTCGGTACCTTCCTCGCCCCCGAAGACCCGCTGCCTGAAGACACCATGCCGCGCAACTTCACCGGCAACATCGACAGCGAGACCATCTCGCACGCGTGCGGGTGGAAGCCGCTGACGTTCTACGATTGGCTGGTCAACATGGCGCGCGATGACGCGGAGCCGTCACAGAGCATCGTGCGTTCGCAGCAGCGCGCGGAGCGCATGCTTTGGGTGCTCCGCAACACCTGGCCCGGGCTTGCTCACGATCAGCAGGCGAAGGTGAAGGATTTGTTGGGCGAGCTAGAGTGTATTCCGACGAACATGGGTATGAAGAAGCCCGGCGAGGCGTATTTCCCAGAGGCGGATATCTTCCACGATGTCCCCGTCGTGAAGCTGCAAACTTTCGCGAATATCCAGCAGTTCAGGGCTGTCTTTACAGAGCTTGGGGTCCAGCGGCACCTCAACATCGAAATTTTGCTAATAAGGTCAGCTTCAGCAACGTTTTTACTTGCCCCCCATCTGATCCTTTGTGTTCACATGGTAAAGGTTGGGTGAGCACTCCGATTGGAGCGTGGCAGACGTCGTGCGGTACCTCATATCCGCGACTTCGTCTGCGACGGAGGCTTCAATGGATGCCGATATTGGCATCGCCATTCTCCGGGACGCACCTGTGTTCTTCGCCGAGAACGAAAAGGACAAGCGCTACCCGCTGAACGAGCTCTTTGCGCCGCTTCAAGAAAACCGCAGGCTTGGTCTACCCATCCTGAAATGGTCGCAGGGGGGCTGGCTTGACGGCTCCAGCGAAAGTGCGTGAAATTTTTCGTCATATCGATATCGTGTGTTGATGTTTGAATTCTGTTGTCTAGCCATGTTCCTGTATAGGAACGGTCTGAACCAAGCCCCGACCTTGCGGAAGTGTATCGATCTACTGTCAGATACGTCTCCCGCGCCGATCCGGGATCACGCACTTCTGTTCTTCACCCGGTTCCACGACCAACTGTACAGGAGCTACGACCCGGAAAACTTCAAGAACGTTCGATATCTCCCGGCCAAGAGGGGAGAAGTCGAATGCGTCGCGTCTCCTCGCGAGGTGCGTTTGCCCATATTGTAGCCTCATCTCGATCAATTCTCACCGGTCGTCCCACCTTGCAGGTCTTCAATGAGAACGGATGGGCGGACCTTGGCTTCTACTCTGTACATGACAAGGCCAGAGCTCATATTGTTCGGCTCAAGATCAAGGACCGTCCCACGCCCGATTTGGTCGTCGCGAAGCTGCGTGACAATCCACCGCCGGATCGCAGGGCTGCTAGCCATTGGTTCAAATTTCTTGGTAGGCGTGGAGGCTTGTCGACGACCCACATGGCTGAGCTCGCGGAGCTTGACATTATCCCGTTCGAAGTGGTCAAGGGGGAGAACGTAGAGCAGGAAGGAGAACAGGAAGGAGAACAGGAAGGCGTCCAGGAGGTCCCCGCTGAAGGATCGTCGACTCCAGTTTCGGCAACGGAGCTCAAGTATCTCAAACCCAAGGAGTGCTACTTGAAGGCGGAGAACAGTCCTGAATTCTACAAGAAGATCTTCCACTATATCGACCTCGGCGAGCAGGCGAACAAGTTTCTGCTTCATTGCGGAGCCAAAGAGGAGCCGTCGTGCGAGGACATAGTCCGAGCGCTGTTGAAAGATCGCGAGCGGTTCTTCAATGAGGCGGGTGGACCAAACCTGTGCGTTTCCCCCCTCATTCGCTTGCTTGCTTTTACTCACCCTTCGTCAGGTATCTCAATGAGATGCGCCAACTCTCGATGAAGTATATGACGCTTCCTCGAGACCTCCGCGACCAGCTCCGCCAAGAACCGCTTTTCTTATGTTACCGTCGTGGCCAAACCACTGAGACCATGCAAGATGGCGAAGAAGCCACATTCGACTTCCGTCCTGCCGAGCAGATCGTCATTGCCGACGATGCAGAGAGTTACCGTCTTTTCAAGCAATTCATCTACATCGCACCCAAGGAGCCTCTCGTCGAAGATTGCTACCGTTACTTTGGCGCCAAAGACATGAGCTCGATCGTGCGGCACGACGTGATCACCTACAACGACATTGAATCGCGCCACACGGGCGACGTACACTCTCTTATCCTCGAGCGGCTGCCTGTGTTTATGAACGAGTGCCGCGATCGCAAGCAACTCCTCAGGCCTGATTGGCTCGCCAACCACGAGAACTTCTGCGTCAAAGCATGTAATTCACTCACTATCGTCAAGAAGCTGGATTTCAAGCACATACACGAGGACGAGTTCACGCGCGAGTCGCAAAAAGAGATTGTTGAGGAGCGGGCGACCGCCGGTATGAAGCGAGTCAAGCGCACGGCCGAAGATGAGGAGGAAAAGCTGGATGCGCTCGAGCTGTGGTTGAAGGGCGGGGAGAGGCCCGACATGTATGAGTAAGTGCTTTGATTAGCCTAAATCGCACTTCGTCAACTTATTGCTGAACGTGTACCAGTGTTGCCGTTGCGCTGTGTCGAATTGTTCTGGAGAACGCGAGGATGCAGGACTCCTTGCTGCTCATGACGTTGCTTGATACCGATAGGGAAACCCTACAGAGGCGTGGCTACGACAGTGAGTTTCTGTTCCGCAGCCGAAATACATTATTTACTTGATGGGATGGCATAGTCGACAAGTACAAGAACTTGCAGGACTTCTCGGTAGAGGAGGCGAAACGAGGTAAGAGCTGTATGTCCTAGGCGGTCAACGAACCCACAACTGAGCTTATCGTAGAACAAAACAAACCGCAGGAACCAGAGGAAGATGAACCCGGTGACGAGTCGAGACCTGTGTTCGACGACTGGCGCCGGAAGTTCTTCCGTTTCATGGGGCGTAACAAGAAGAAGAGAGGTGGTCCGCTCAATGTTAAAACTCTTGGTGCGTTTTACCTCCTAGATGCATTTCACGGGATGCTCATGCGCGCCACGTGGAACAGATGACGAGGCGCAAAAGGCCTTGGACGGGTGCACGCCCGAAGGCGATGAGAAACTCAACAACAAGGAAATGGGAAACGAGCCGAAAGAAAAGCATGCGCCGGATTACTGCAAGGGGCGCGAATTCTCTCTCGACAAGTCAGTGGAGCTTAACGGCATCACCGTCTACGAGCCTCGTAAGTGCTATAGATTCTTTTGTCATCTAGTCGAAAACATAATCTAACACCTAAGTTTAATCGTAGCCTCCGGCATCAACCTCCCCAGGGTAGCACTGCATGAATTCCTCGACATGATCCGGGACATCATGACGGAAGTCTACAAACAACCGTTGCGAAAGTTCCACGTGTTCTACGACAAGGATCCCGAGCTTATGGGATTCAACCGCTCACAAGCTGTTTTCCTCAATCTTGGCTATTTCGAGACCCACCGTGCGTCCCTATCTTTTCTGCTGACCGCTGTCTAGTTGCTCAACTGAACATGTATACACAGATTACCGAAGAGATATGGCTCAAGCGCACATCGTATGGTACGTCTATTCCACCTCTTCCCTCTTAAAACCCTACCCCCGCTAACTTATTTTTGCCGCAGGTACTTCGTCATCGCTCACGAAGTTGCGCACAACAACGAGCCGTTCCACGACTCGAATCATGTCAGGCTTTTCTCGAAGATCGCAGAGATGAAATTCCTTGAGCTCAACGCCCTGTTGGAGAAGAAGGGCCTTCTCACGAAGAAGTAGGGGATGGGGCGTACTGCATGCTAAATTTTACTCACTCATTTGGACTTTTTATCTGTCGACTTTTTCCTGCTTTCTTGCTCTCATCTTGCTTAGTGCCATTGCTCTCGTTTACCATTTCGGTCGCATGTGTTACGGATTTCAGTCTATCATCTCATATCGCCTCATTATGTTATCATATCATACTATGTTCATCTATCTAGTAATAATCAAAAATGAACTCCAAGCTAAATTTCTGTGTTGACGCAACTACAATCGTCGGTATTGGAGTAGAGACATTTGGGTTGACGACAGACGCGTGTTACTCAGGGGCTATTTATTTGCGACTACTGAGTTACATAACAAACTTGTTACCTTTCCTCCTCTGGAACCTTAGTGCCTTCCATTATGTCGTCCTCCCCAACAATACAGGATGAACAGCTCATTGAGCTTCTCCTTACGCTCAAGGTCAGTTTCTCTCACAAGCTCTAATTTGTGTCGCTAAGAGCACGTCTTGCAGAAAACCACGCCCGAGCAGGCTCGCACCATCCTCTCGTCAACGCCCCAAATTGCATACGCGCTCGTGGCTCTCATGGTGAAGATGAATGCTGTAGATGTGCAAGTCCTCCATGTACGTTTCTACACAAATTTATGTTCTCATCGATCACCCAACAACCCTTTCGCTGGCTCGCGCGTAGAATACGGTGGCAGCCTTCTCTGCGAACGCTCAAGGCAGCGCTACTCCCGCTCCCGCAGCTGCACCCACCGCACGCCCAGTATCCGTCCCACCAGTTATGCAACAGCCCCCATCCGCCATACCTTCTCATCTCTCCCAGCAATCCCGCACTTCTACTCCCCCGTCCCACCCGCCCACACCATCCAACGCGTCCCAGCCTCCGCCCCAGCAGGGGTACGGTCCTCCCGGGCGAGTACCGGGTCCACAGCAACCTCCACAACAGCAGTATACCCGGGATCCGCGACAGCATCCTAATAACCCGTATCAACAGCAGCATCAGCAACCTCAGGCATATAACGGGTACGGTGGTACGCCTCAGGCGCCTACCGTGCAAGCGCAACAAGCTGGAGGGGCATTGCCGGAGAACTTAGCGGCATTGCCGGATGAGCAGAAGGTGCGTCGCATTTTCTTGTTGCCGCATCTCACCGGCTGATGTCTTCGTATGTATGCAGGCTATGATAGCGCGTATAATAGCCATGACGCCGGAGCAGATCAATATGCTTCCGCAGGCTGAGCGTGCCAGTATAGTCCAACTGGTGAGTCGTTCTGTAGGCTTTGCTTTTATGCAGTGCTAACGTCTGCTTTCATCGCAGCGCGCTACACTTGGCCTTCCTTCATGAAGTTTATGGTATTTACATCTCTCAAGGCGACCTTTCCTTTCACCAAGGGCCTTTACTTTGCATATTGCGACCAGCTACGCTCTGATGACATTTGCTCAAGACGGTTGCCGGCTTGTTGGATTCGAGTCTTGTCTAAGCTCAGTGGTGTAAATATGACCGCACATCCAGCACCGTAGACAGTATTGTATAGTAGAGGTCTACCACAACACTAATATTAGCGAATGAAGTTGCCCCCAAGTACGTTTGAGGATGACGAAATGGCTGTGCCCGGCAACGCCCGCGGGCGTAGCACGAGCTTGTCTCGGTCAGGGGAAGTGACCCAAGCCTTACACCACTAGCCGCCCACTAGCCATGCGTCTTGGATACATCTTCACGCTGTGCGCTCCTCTCTTGGCTGCAGCATCTCGCAGCGAGCAGAAAATCATGGCTGCTAAACCCCAAGACATCCTCGCCGACCCGTTCGTCGCTTCGCAGCCTACGATCACGGACGTGCTCACCATCCAGCGCCCGGGCAACATCTTCTTTGACTATGCTCGCTCGCTCGCGCTCTCTGAGTCGTTCAGCAACAAGAGCAAGGAGCTTACAGTGCTCATGCCCACTAACACGGCTGTGATGAAGATGGACCGTAAGCCGTGAGTACTGCTCATAACAATGTCGCTAGCTTGAACGCTCACACGACCCATGTCGTCTGGTTGCAGTAATGAACCGGAGCAACCTGGAGGCGATATCCAGATCACGGAAGCCGAGTACGAGTCTCAGTCGACGGAGAACGTCGAGAGATGGGTATCTGCCCATGTCATAGAGGTGTGCTACCTGCATCGCAAGCTAAGCTTGTCCGCTAACGAGGTCTCGTAGGGACGGGTATCTCTTGATAAGCTACCAAAAAGCTACAACACCCTCTTGTCGGGTAAAACTGTTTCTTTCGAGTTTTCCTCCGACACGAGCTCGACGGATGACTGGAAAAACGTCGTAATGAAGGGAGGAAAAGATGATTATGACATAAAGATCCTGAACAGACTCGAGGTACGCTCAACCTCCTTCGAACTCTCTGAGCATACGCTTACGATAACTCTAGGCTGCGAATGGCGTTATCTTCGTCATTGACGGTACTGTCTCCCCCAGCAGCTGAGCGTGCCGCTGTTACATTCCCATCGTCTCATCGTCTTGTACAACATCGAACAGTATCCCCTTCTTAATGTCAGCATTAGCCTGTCGCCCTCGTCTTGATTACATATCAATGGAACAATATGATCACCATTACTCTCAATTCGCTGCTTCAGAATAGCAATCTCAGGCGGTTCAGGCATTTTCGTGGAAGTAAGACCAGCGCGAACATGAGCAGTGCTGCGCGCTGATTGGCTGGAACGTTTTCGGGCTCCGCTTAGACGTCATGGCACTGGTGCCTCGAGTAAGAATAGAAAACTCCGAGGTTTCTTCGTCCTTTCGCGTCTCGAGTGCACGACATTACACGTCCGCCCTTGGACAACATCGCGTCCAGGACTTCCCTGGAGTCATATCCTGGTGTGTAACGGAAATGATCTCATGTTCAAGCCCGCTGGGCACATGAGTACAATCGGGATGGGTTTCAAGATTAAGGTGCGTTCTCTGAATTTCACGAGCGTCTTGGATAAACGTTAGATTGCGACCATCACACAGATGGACGCATCCCATGTGCGCGTGACGCATCTATAATTCGTTATGTCGGTCCGAGATTGATAACGTCCTATATAAACTCGGTGCGCTACTCAGAAGGCTCCTTCTCATCCGCCCAAGTCAACGATCGTCTTGTTTCACGATGTCCCCCACAGTCAAGCTCGAATTTAACCCGAAGAACATGCTCTTCCGGAGGCTTGGCTCTTCTGGTTTACGAGTCCCCGTATTCTCCCTCGGAGGATGTGAGTGTTCAGACTATCGACGGCCTATTCAGACTAAAGAGACATAGGGCTCACGTTGGGTGGAACCGTCACTGGTGATCCTGTAAAGGTACGCAATCGTCTTTCTCCATTTACGAACTCAACCATATCCACATCTGCTGAATCAACGTATGTAGGAAATTGTCAAAGTAGCTTTCGAGAATGGGATCAATATGTTCGATACCGCAGAGGCGTACGCAAAGGGGCAATCCGAACTGGAGATGTGAGGTCCAACGTCATTATTGTGATCGTCACAGCCTCCATGCTGATTCGGCGTTTCAAGGGGTCGTGTTATCAAGGAACTTGGGCTACGTCGCACAGACCTCGTTATCTCAACTAAGCTGTTCTGGGGCCTGAGAGAAGGGCCGAATGACGGTGGACTGTCGAGAAAACAGTGGGTCGTAATTCGTTCTTTCTGTTACTGATCATGTTCGCTCACGTACTATATCAGCATCATTGAAGGCACCCAGGAGTCTCTCGAGCGCCTTGAGTTGAGTTATGTCGACATAATCTTTGCCCATCGTCCCGATGCATCAGGTGAGTAGCCCTGCAGCTTTATCCAATGGGCTCCTGACCCACGTCGCCTCCCTAGTTCCCATGGAAGAAGTCGTTCGCGCATTCAACTACGTGATCGACAAGGGCTGGGCGTTTTACTGGGCTACCTCGGAGTGGTCCGCTCGTGAGATCGAAGAGGCACACCGTGAGTGAGCCTTTACTTGAGCTCGTTCAGCCGCATTTGATCAATATGATCCTTAAAGATGTCGCCGAGAAGCTCAACCTTGCAGGTCCGATCGCCGAACAATGCCAGCACAAGTATGAGTAATTTCTCCTTTATGTTTCTCCAAAGGTCTAATCCGATCTTTAGCATGTTCCATCGCGAACGTCCAGAGAGCGAGTACCGGTACGTGTATATGTTCCTCCTGACGACCGTTGACTCATCTCGCGGCTTTCAGACCACTGTATAGCAAGTACTCGCTGGGAACGACGGTCTTCTCTGCACTTGCCAGCGGGGTTCTAACGGGGAAGGTAATCAACTCCCTCTCGTGTCAAATAAAACGTTTACAAAAGATCTACCAGTACAACGACGGCATCCCGGAGGGCACCCGCCTCGCGATGCACAGCGGCCAGTTTAAGGGCATGATCGCTACCCTTGACGAACAAGTCGTCAAAGTGCGAAAGCTGACAGAGATCGCGGAGAATGGTACGTTTCTGCCGCGATAGGGTCATTCGCTGAGTCAGCTTCATCGATTCTAAACGTCGTTCTTGTATACAGACCTCGGATGCTCTGTGGGCCACCTCGCGCTCGCGTGGATTGCACGCAACCCGAACACGAGCACCGTCATCCTCGGTGCGTCTCGGCCGGAGCAGGTGCTCGACAATCTCAAGGCGCTCGATGTTATCCCGAAGTTAACACCCGAGATTCTGGAGAAGATTGAGGCCGTGCTCGGGAACAAGCCTGCGGCTACGGTGAGCAGGCTATTTGAAGTGTTTCACTCATGAATGTTACTGATTTGCTTGGACTAGCCAACGTTTGGGCGGCCACCGCTGGATGCTTTCGGCCGGTTGTGAAGGCGGGGTATTTGAGCAATGGACGGATACATGTATCTTGTTTAATATGACATTACGGTATACGATACTTCCAGGATACAAAGTGGACCAGATATCATAGCTAGTCTCGTTCAAGTAACTGCACCAGAAGGAACTACACCACTCATAATGACGGGAACCGCATTACGACAATACTCCCGTTGGCTAACCCAAGAGCCAGCCGATTTTCAAACGACCGTGCGGCCTTGATAGGTGCCATATGGGGAAGCTTTGCCAGAATCTTCTTGTCTCCGTCCGGTAGCAAACCGTTTTCAGCGACACAGACATAACGTCCAAGCTTCAGAGAAAGTGATGCAGGCAAACGAAAAGCGTCCTTCGGTACGCTCGCGCTCGCATCCGAGGGTACCAGCCGCTGTCCACTCTGCGCATCCCAAACCGTTACACCATCATCACCATGAGCTTCAGCAATGATCTGCATCCCGTCAAACGAGAAGTTCAGCGCCTTCAGGTTCCACCCCACCTCTAACGGCTCCAGCAGCGGTTCCATCGTATTTGCGTCCCAGACCCGGACCGTCCGGTCTTGACCGCAGCTCGCAAGCCTGAGTCGACCATCGGTGTCGAGCGGCGAGAAAGCGAGGAGCGCAACAACACCCTTGTGTTTCTTTGCGGGACTCATGCTTCCCACCGAGACTATGTCAAAAACGCGCACGCGTCCGTCCTTGGTCGACCCAGTAGCGATGGCCTCGACACCGCCGCTCCGCCCCCACGAGACGCTACGCACGGGCCGGCCGAGGTTCCGCACAGGCCTGGAGTGCTCTGCACCAGTGCTCAGGTTCCAAGAGCGCACAGAGCAGTCCTTGGACGCGCTTGCCACGTGCAAATCGCCTGGTGCGAGGGCGAGCCCCCACACCGCACTACGATGTCCTCGAAGCGGACCCAGAAGTATGGTACCAGAATGTGCATCCCACACGCGTATGGTGCAGTCTTCCGCGCCGGAGATGATCCTAGAGTTATCGGATGTGATAGCTACGCAAGTGATAGCCCCGGTGTGCCCCTCGAGGCGCCTGAGGAGGCGGAAGCTTTGGGCGTCCCATATGCGCAACGTCTCGTCGCGAGAACCCGTGACGAAAGCGGTTCCCCCAGGGAAGTACGATATGCACAGCACTGCACGTCCATGGGCGACAAACGGCTCGCGAATTGGAGCTCCGCTATGGGCGTCAAACGCCCCTATCCGCCGGTCTTTGGACGCCGTCAAGAGTTGCTGGCCGTCTGGCGAGAACGTAAGCCCATAAACTGCGAGGTCGTGTATAGTGATGGCTTCACAAATTTGTGAGCCGGCGAGCGCATCCCATAGCCTGACACGTCCGTTGTGTGCTGCGCTTGCCACTCGTGTACCGTCGGGTGCCCATATAGCCTGTGTGAGTGCTGCGGTATTATCGTAGTTTCCCATCGTTAAGGCGAATCCGTCGGGGTTGTGCATTTCCGAGAGTTGTGCGCCAGACGCGGCGTCCCAGACACGCAATGCGCTTCCAGTAACGGCGAGGAGCTGGCGCATGTTCGGCGAGAATTGAACGACGTGGAGAGCGCCATTGTCTAGGCCAAACTCAGTTAAGAGCGGGGACCACTGCTCGCGAAAACCGCCTGCGATGCTAGGGTATACGCCCGGTTTGTGGTAAATGCGGTATATGAGGGTATTGGTAGGCGTGAAGGGAAGAGCGCTGGTGTACACGAGCAAGGGATGCTCTTCGATGAGGTTCATGAAAGCTTGGCAAAAACGGATGCCATCGGACGCGAGTTCGAGAAATTCGGAGTCGCTCGCAGGTTCCGGTGTGTTCTTCTGCATTTACCATGAGCTGTTCGGTTTCGTAGCCAAACGACATACACACGCACTTGCAACCAATCCCTCAAGGAGATCAACAGCCCGATTGTCTGCCTTGCCTTCCTGAGGATCGACATCGCCTCAATCCAGTGCAACAGATGCACGCGCAAGAACTCCTCCACAAGCTTCGCCACCCTGCCCACATCTTCTACCTCGCTCGCCTGAACAGCATGCCTAATCCATTGCTCGCACGCATAAGCAACGTCCTCGGGTACCTGCTCGCACAGCTCGTCCCTCATCGCGTCCGACATATCCATCATCACCATCACCTTGCAGTAGTTTTCCTGCAGCCCGTCCGCAAGCCGGCTCAGGCACAGCTGTGCCATGCGCACGTGGTGAACCTGCTTATCGACAAACCACGCGTCGCGCCCACACCTAGTACGGTTCGTAAGGAAATCCGCAAATGAGGGGTGCATAACTCGGATTGGTTCCTCTCTAGCCCATTGCACAACGCAGCCCAAGTGCTGGATGGTATGGAGACATGGTCTCTTCCGCTTGCCACCGGCGTTGTTCGGGTCGGCTCCATTGAGTGCATCGATAGTCCGTGCGCAGAGCGGGAAACTCGACGTAAGGACGATGCCCAGGATCTCCCGGAAATCAGAGGCGAACGACTCGTCCGTCCAGTTTCCCGCAACCTCGAGTGCGGTGGTGTAGATTCCGTCCAGCGCTGCCTCTGCCGTTGCATACGCGCGGGCGCTTGTGAGATCAGCGACGCGCTGTTCGGGGTCCTGGCCGTTCTCGATGAAGTAGCAGGCTGTGGACGCCCATACGAACAGGCCCGACGCACGCTCGGCGAGCAGTGCGATGCGGGCGCCTGGCCAGTCTGGAGGAAGATCGAGGAACTTGTTTTTGGCTCGGATTGAGACCATACGAAAGTGGATGTATGCAAGGACATCGTCGCTATTCGCATGCGAGGTGAGGTCGAATGTGGCACGGCGCACGTTTGGAGAGTCGGCTAGTGCTCCCTCGATATCGAGTTCAGCACGTCCGGTAATGAGAACACGGAAAGTGGGTGGAAGTTTGCCCATCTCGGTAGCGAGGACATCCAGTAAGTCCTTCCGTGTCTGAGGCGATCCGCACTCATCGAGCGCATCAAAGATTATGAGGACCGGACCTTCGCGTGATAAGGTGTCGAGGGTGGAAAGGGGCTCGAGGATCAGTTTGCGGAACTGCCATCGAAGAGGTGACTGCCGGATACTTGGTGTGTTCTCGATAACCTTGGCAATTGCGTTCCCAATCCTGGGGTCAAACTCGCCAAGCTGATAAGCAAGGGTACGTATGACAGCGGCGGGGTCATTGCGTGCGGAGACATCGCGGTTGAAGAAAACAAAGGCGCCTAAGCGCCCGAGCTCCCGAAACATATTCGCTACCGTCGTCGAGATTGTGCTTTTGCCAACGCCTGCGAAGCCATACAACCAAAAGACGTTGCGCTTGACGTCTGGGCTAGTTGCCCACTCCGTGATGGTATTGATCATATCTATACGAGTATTGGGAAGACATTCGCCGCGCATGGGATCATCCATTTCATTAGGAACTAGCTTAGCTAGATTCTGCGCACGAGCTACCCAGACGCGCTTCAGTCCATGCATACACTAACTCCCGAATACCAAGCTCACCTATCTTCTCGACATTCTCATCGATTCGAAAAGAGACAAGTGTCGTCTGAAGGGACAGCTCCGAGTCGAACGAATCCTTCAGCATGACGAACGTCTGCACAAAATGCGTTATCTGGTCGTCCGCCCATATTCCAGTAAGAACCCTTCCTTAACCCTCGCATTAGATTTAATAACGTCAGCGAACGTAACCGAACGCACCGCAGAATCCCATCCCACTATACTCTCGGATGAACATCACGCACTCGACCGTCTGTATGAGGATGCTCCTGATGGTAGTTTCGAGGCTGTTGAGCTTTTCAGGGATCGACCGCACGGTATCAACGAAGGTGTAGATGGTTTCCATCGTCACGAGTAGGTCTGTGAGCTTCTGGTCCCGGGCGAATTGGCCTTGAACCAGCTTTAGTATGCTAATTAGTTCATATATGCGCGTCTTCACTAATAGTAGCGACTTACCTTGAACACAGAAGATATCATCTGCCACGCTAAGTTGACATATGGGTGTATCTGCGCTGCGACGTCTACCAGTCTCACGAGCACGTCCAACTGCTTCATGATCTCTGCGAGCGACCCTCCCACGTCCTTATCCTTTTCTTGTTCTGTTGGGTGCGTGCCAAATAGCGAGGCCGCGGGTGTCTTCGCCTCCTCAATTGCTCGAGGGTCCGAGTGCTTGTGCGCGGATTCGAGCGCAGTGCGGCCTGCATTTGCTAAGTCGACGGACCACACGCGAAGGGTGACATGCCCGATAGTCGATTGAAAGGGAGGGGAGGTTGAGTTTGAGTTGGGTTTCGACACAGTGAGGGTCTTGGCGAGGTCCATCGTTATCTTCTCGGCTGCAAAACCGCGATGTGAGCGAGAGTACACGTGTATAAGAGGATTTCAAGCATAAGTGACCTTACCATCGTTCGAATTAGTTGCGCGAAGAATGGTCGACAGTCTGACTTGCGCCATGCCGAGGATGTGTGCGCCTGGCATCCAAGTATCGTGACGAACTTCGAGGTATATATGCGCATCGATATCAGGTGCGTGTCTTCCAAGTAGGCATGACCCGTTCGTCAGCGCTGGGGAAGGGTCGACAAGACAAGAGAGCGAGAAAGGCTCACAGCGTGAAAGTTTCGTCCCATGCCGGATCCCACTGCTTCTTCACTGTTCTCGTCTTGACATGGTTCACTGCGTTGAGACCAACTCGCGCAAAGGGATTTGGAGGCTTTGAGGACCGACCGGTAGCTGCGATGTTGGCTTCAAGTACTGTTGGATTCAACTTATTGTCAGGGCCATAACGATCGATTGGGACGGCAAACATACTCTGAAGCTGGACATACATCGCCGAAATTATGACCTTGCTTCACCTTCTCACTGTCCTCCACCGAAACCTCAGCGAGATGTCGTCTTTGAGATGTTTTAGAGGAAAAGGTACAAACCGGAGATCTCCACATCCGCTCGAGAACAAATGGGAACATGATGCGCATCCTTGTCCACCTCGGGATGTAGTGCGACCGAAAAGATTTCATCACCATGACTCGGATGGAAATGGGTTGGACGCGTGATGTCAAGACGCGAGCTCTGCGGGAGTTGTGCACAAGCATCTGGGCCACAAGGCTCCTCCGAGCCGTAGCGAGCAAAGTTTTCGAGTCGATTGCTCTCGAAACTACTTCTAGGTACTAGACATTATTCTCGAGGCCAATGCATTATCAAGATGATTCTGTCATACAGTCTCTTCAGCCGTCTGGGGAGAGGGTGACCTGACTTCTTCTACCTCCGACTGCTCCTGCCCTTCTGTATCTGTATCTTCCGAAGTCAAGGCTCGTTCATTCATACTCTGCATCTCAGGTCGCTCTAGGTCCCTCATCGGCAGGTTACCTGACTGCGACCTTCCCCGCTTTGGCACGCTCTTGCGGCGCTTCGGCCCACGACGCCCAACTCGAGTTAACGAACTCAAGGCTGTTTTTAGCTTCTGAAACAGAAACGGCGTCCCTTTCTCCACGCGATACCACGTGTACATTGGCAGCCATGTAGCCACCACAAGAACACCAAGTGCAAACGCGCAGGAGTACTGAGTGTAGGATGCTCCTCCCGGGAAGATTCGCGCGCAAAGACCAGCGAGAAAGAACACCATCCTGGAAAATACAGGCGGACGACTCGACTTAGCTATAGGGCTGGGGATGAGGAATGACGCACCCCCACATGAGCAGCGCGAACGGCAGGCTGTACATAACAGCGAGCGTCTCAATTCCGAATAGTGAGTCGCTGACAGCCGACAAGAGCGCCACCTGGTTTCCCCATCTGTTAGTTCAGCACTCATCTCTTCCGCAATATAGAATGACGCACTGCTTTATCAGCCGACTGGACCTTCCTGCGCCGTGCATCTGCGGACAGGAGGAGGGAAAGAGTCATCGAGCCAACGACAGCGATGATTGATACGTATGTTAGCACCGTGGATGCGTTTTCATTGCCTGGACCATCGCCTTCGACTCCAGGGACAGCCAGAAAAGAAACATCCACAGCCAACATCACGGTCGACTGTAGGACAAAACCAGTCAGATATGGTGCAGCTATGGTGAAAAGGGTGGATGTTAAAACGCACATAGAGCGCAAAGCCAGTGAATTCATCATATGCATTTGACAGGTACTCTTTCCATCTTGCCTGGTTCACCGAACGATCTACCCAAACGCCTTCCAGCCTCTTGAGCTGCGAAGGTGGCGAGAAGAAAGTGAAGACAGAGACGAAGTGGATAAACATTGTGCGCCGTGGGTGAACGTTATCCACCCCCGGGCCTTTGTACTGTGGCGAGTAAACAGAGGTGTCCGCATCCAGCCTAGCTTCAAGCTGCCCGCAGAAGTTATATAACCTGGACCGTGCTGGGAGAACGGTTTGAACTTGCACACAATACTTTGATGAACGCCTACCAAACGTGCTCATGAATCTCGCTATGAACATGTGGAGTCAGCTCGATACTATGAGCCTTACAAGAGGAACGTTGACTTGCCGATGACGCATACAGCATGTGGGCTTATAGCATTGATGCGGTCTGATGATGGCGAATTCAACAATGTCTTCATGGGAACGCCAAAAACAAAGGCACGTACCTCTCATGGAATCTAAGAGACTTTGTATCCTTGCTAGCTCGTCTGAATCGTAAGGTGCAAGGGATGTGTCGCTTGTCACCCGCTCTATTCATCGGTCATGTTATTCTTCGAACATTCCTTTCAAACACATAACGCACCTGCACTCGCGTGAAGAACCGCGTCGGTCAGCTCATGAAACATCTTATCTGTTAACGCTCGTTCGTGTGGGAATGCTTCCAGATGGCTCCTGATCGATTTCTAACCGCCATGTGGGACTGGTTCCACTCAGTTTTCACCCAATATCGCCATGAAACAGGATTACACACCTATAGCGGACAATGTACTCACCAATACTGCGCCTCCATTGCATGTTCTAGTGTTTATCAGGCTTGCATTGTACGAAGGCTGCTATAGTGTGCGTACTGATATGCCCGTTGTTCACAACTCCCTGGATGTGCTCGGCAAGTGCGTTGTCTTTATCTTTGTATGTTTCCGGCCAGAACAAACAACGGCTTTCTGGGTCCACAAGGTAGTAGCCTACGAACTTCTCCTCGGGATTTCCGCTCAGGTCCAAAACTAGCTCAGTGTGAGGCCCGATTGATACGTTCGAATCTCTTGCTTTTCTCGCTATGTCTTGTATAGCCGTTTCTAGTATCTCGCATATGTTTAGACTGGAGCTGCGGACGTTGGCGTTTGTGAAGATAGTCTGGTCGACGTCAGAGAGTTCAACATCACTGTGTCAAGGATACTCACATCTATCTTGCCGATGCTCTGTAAGAAAGCGCTGAGCTTCGCATGAATAGATGATAAAGCTGCGGCTCACATGGTTCTGTCCCCGAGAAAAGTAAAGAGCACCTTCTGGGTGTACACAGTCTACCCAAGCAGTGGCGTTCGCGCTTATGAGAAAGAATAGAATCAGCTTGTGTCAATCATGTGGAGATGCCATACTTGCTCTCTGAAAGAGGTCTCTCCCGCCTTGATCTTCAAAGACTTCGACTTGCGATCTCTGGTAATGAATCGTAACATGAGTCAAGGTGATCTGCAACTAAAATGGTCACGTACGCAAAATTAGCTCGCTCGTATCTCTTGCTCATGACGCTTGATGCCAAGGCCGGCACTAGCCTCCACTTCCCCTGCTCAGGAGAAGGAAATTGAACATGAAGCGATGGTGTAGCCGTCAAGTGCCCAGATGCATCCACTTGCAACTGGGGAGAGCTAGTACTTGTTGGTATGGTCGGACCACTTGGTCCGGAATTAGAACCAGACGTGCCGTTGCTGATAGCATAAGGCTCATTGTGGGTCGAGGCCGCGGGGGGTTGCAAGCTAGAGTTAGAACTTGGCGGGGTATGATGCTTGGGTATACGCGAGAAACAGATCGAGTCTCTGTGGTAGGCCCTGTGCGATTGAGTTTGGGCGGAAGAGCGCTGAGAAAATAGGCTCCGTAGCACCCGGAACAGAAGCCTAGGGTAGGCAAACAACTTCCGGCAAAGTTGCGTTACAGCGAGGAGGACTGCGCGAAGAACGGATGGACATCTTGACATCATGATGGTCTGAGAGGGAGGGCACCGTGAACGGCGTGGCTAAGACGGAGCGCACACAGCATGCATGTCCGACGCATGGCGGGCGGCAAAAGAACCCTACCATACAGGCGCCCTTCAAGTTTATGACAACCCGTCTAGGGAATTGCCGAAATCCCGATAACATCAGCACGAGTATGACCCAGCCTAGCTGCCTAACGTAGAGTTACAGTAAGATTTGTGTCGTGGAAGACGATAATGGCATGTTGTAGGCTGTAGCAACACTCTCGACGTATCACAATAAAAGATAAGAGATCTTAAAGGTATCACATTGTAAGGTATACAAAACGCAGATAAAGCAAGACCGATATCATCAAGACAGCGTATCCCCTATAGCTACGTAACCAAGATAGATATCGCTACAAAACGTTCAGATATAATTCAAGGTGCACCTTGCGCCGTAACTTGCGTTTGCGGCTGCGTCACAGGCGTCGATACCGTCGCTGCCGAGCCTGACTGGCCCTGCGATCCTGATGCCTGTGGTTGAGTTTGCGATTGTTGCAATCCCAGCTCGTGGCTTCCTCCTTGCGCTGGCTGACATTGGCCGGAGCCTTGCCCTTGTCTTGCAACTGCCCTACCCTGTTCGGGATCCGCCTGACCCCTCCCTCTCCCGTTGCCTCTTGGCTTCCGCCGAAAACGCCAATATTTAAGAACCAAGAGGAGCGCTGAAAAGGCGTCGCCTATCAACTGGAACACTTTGGGAGTCCCGTTCTCAACGCGCCACCAGGTGTACAAGGGTATCCACACCGCCAGTCCGAGCACTCCGAGCGCGACGGCGCTTACGATTATCGTGTACAGCTCAGCTCCTGGGAAAATGCGTGCGCAGAGGCCGCCGAGGAAGCCCACCATACTGTTTATTCAAGTCAGCCATTTAGTTCCATTTTCCCCAGAAATGCGACGTACCCCCACATAAGCAGTGCGAATGGTAGACTGTACATGATGGCGAGGCTTTCAATTCCAAATAGTGAGTCGCTGACAGTCGACAGAAGTACTGCCTGCCAAGATAAATCAGCCTTCACTGCAGGACGATGACGTGGGAGAAGAAGACGCACCGCTGTTTCAGCCGATTGCACCTTCCGACGACGCGCATCCGCGGATAACAGGAGAGACAAGGTCATGGAGCCGACGACTGCAATAATCGATACATATGTGAACACTGTCGCCGCGTTCTCGCTCCCCGGGCCCGGCCCTTCCACCCCCGGCACTGCCAGGTAGGACACGTCAACAGCCAACATCACGGTAGACTGTAGGGTTGTAGTTAGGTCTCTCCAAAACGGGCTGCCGAATGGATGGCGAACCCACATAGAGAGCGAATCCGGTGAACTCATCGTACGAGTTCTGCAAGTACTCTTTCCATCTCGCTGTGTTTATCGAGCGGTCTACCCACACGGCCTCAAGCCGGTTCAGCTGCGACGGCGGCATGCCAAACATTGAGACCGTGGTCAGGTAAAAAAGCGCTGAGCGCGGCGGATGTGCATTGTCCTTTGATCGCTTCGGCGGACGGTAGACGGACGCGTCGGCATCGAGACGGGCTTCAGGCTGCCCGCAGAAATTATAGAACCTGGAGCGCGCTGAGCAGCATAAGCATGTGGTGAGCATAAGGAAAGAGTGTGAAATTTACCAAACATGCGCATGAATCGGGCTGTCGTGGTCAATGAGGTCACTCTAAGAGCCTAGGTAACTTAAAGAAAAACTCACCCACTGTGCACACTGCATGGGGACTTTTCTTGTCAACGCGATCTGAAGTTATACTTTAGTTAAATAGCATGTTACTACGTCGAGATGTGCGAACCTTTCATTGAGTCCAGTATGCCCTGAATCTTAGCTAGTTCGTCCGAATCATATGGTGCTAACGATGTATCACTCGTCACGCGTTCTGCCAACGATGGTTAGTCTTTGTGAACATTGAGGCTCCACAGACGTACCCGCGATAGAGTGTAGGACCATATCCGTCAGCTCGTCAAGCATCTCCGTCGTGAGTGTTCGATCGTGAGGGTAGGCTTCACAATGTGCCCTATTCAAGGCATTTGTCAATTGCATACTTCTATAACACTGTCAGTCATATGCCGTGTCGAAGAAAGATGGACCGCTCACCTACATCGAATAGGGCCCTTACCAATATTGGGCTTCCATTGCGTGCTCTTTTGCTGCGCATTAGATAAGTCATTAGAAAGTAGCCAGATATGCGTACTGATGTGGCCTTTTTTCTCAACACCTCTAATGTGTTCCGCAATCTGGAATTCCGCGTCTTTGAAGGGTTCCACCCAAACCAAGCAGCGATCATGTTGAACCGCAAAGTAGTAACCCACAGTCTGTTTCTTCGAGTCAAGGTCCAGTACCAACTCAAAAGCTGCGTCGACCTGCACATTATTCGTGTTTGCTCGCTCGAATATAAGTTTGATTGCCTTCTCCAACTCGCTGCAAACGTCGACTTTAGTCTTGGCACTACGAACGTCCGCGTTCGTGAATATACTCTTTATATGAGAAGGGTGAAATTTGATAAAAGCACAATTAGCCGGACGTGACTCACGCGTACTCTGCGGCACTTTTATACAAATGTGTGAGACGTTGCGAGAAGGACGAGGAATGATTTGACTTACGCTGTCTTCTATCCGAACGAAGTAAAGAGCACCTTCCGGGTGCACGCAGTTTGTCCAACCTTCCTTACTGTCACTGTATAAACGACCAGTCGCGATTACTTTCATGAAATGCTACTGCAAAAGGCGAGGAAATGACAGACTCTTTGAAACTTCTGTGACCCGCTTCGATCTCAAACTCCTTCCGAGATTTCTTGCTATCAGGCAGCACGTTAGCATCGAGAATTGTCAATTCCTAGAGGATAGGCCTACGCGTGGTGGACACGGTCGTATCGCTTGTTCATAACATCGGACGCAAGAACCGGCACAACTTTCCATGGTGCCTGATTCGCTGGAGTCTGAGAGCGAGATCCGGGTGGAACCGTCAGGTGTACAGAGCCCATCCTTTGGGAGTTTGTAGAATGTAGCGATAGTGCAGGACCTGGCTGGCCGAGGTTCGTCGCAGAGGCATTACTGCTAACGTTGTATGGTGCAGGAGTTTGCGAATTGTTCGGCAGCAAGCTAGCAGCAGAGCCTGATTGAGGACTGGGCATGGGAGGTGCAAGAGAGGGAAAGATGGGGTATCGCCTGGGCTTTTGGGTGTCTTGGCGGTTTGAGTATATGCGCTCATTATACTGGTGACCGAGGACCCGCAAAACGCGGAACAGAGCTCGAGAGGACGCGCATACCTGCTTGAAGAAACGTACTAGCAAACACAGAACGCGCCGAAGAATGTCTGGAAATCTTAACATGATGACCTGAGGGACGGTCAACGGCTACCAGCCGTGTCGAGGACGGGGGGCATACAGGAAATGTGGAGCACAAGGGGATACATTGTGGGCGGCGTCAAAGAATAGGAAACCCTAACCTGAGAGACGCCGGTCTAATTGACCACGTTATCGTGACCTGTTTGTACGCGGCCAGCGAGCAATTCAGCCGTACCTGCTCGTCCTCCTCCTGACCATCCTCAGATTTCCTCCAGCTTTAACAGGGACTTGCAGGCAAATCGCTGTTTTATTTGACTCAAAATGGTGGGATCCACCCTTTTCAGAAGGATGCCCACTCACAGAATCACAGGTCGTCTTAGCAGCCTCAATATGTACGAAAGGCGGCAAAGGTGCGCAACCCAATCCTCAGTCCCTTGATTCAAGGTCTGATACCTCCAAATAGCCGTTTTATCTCGCCAATTCCATCCGATGACGCGAACGCGCATCGAGTCGCTGCTCGCCTCTTTCCCGAAGCTCATCCCGACCAACTCGCAGCACACCTCCGTTGAGACGGGCGAGGTCCGCTACGTGTACCAACCACTTGAGGAGCTCTACATCCTCCTCATCACCAACAAAGCCTCCAATATTCTCCAGGACATCGACACCCTCCACCTCTTTGCTCGTGTCGTCACTGACATGTGCCGCTCCGCCGACGAGCGCGAGATCCATCGCAACGCGTTTGAACTCTTGGGTGCTTTCGACGAGATCGTCAGTCTGGGGTACAGAGAGCAGGTCAACGTGATGCAGGTTAGGAGTGTTCTGGAGATGGAGAGTCACGAGGAGAAGATCCAGGATATCATCGCCCGAGTGCGTAGTCTGTTTTTCTCTTTTCCCTACGTGCGTGGAGACCTGATGTCGGGCCCTTCAGAACAAAGAAGCAGAAGCAAAAGAGGAACTAAAACGGCGCGCACGCCAGCTCGAGATGCAACGACGCGAGCAGCAGAAACGCGCCTCCTCCGGCATGGGTGGAGGCATGGGCTCCATGGGTGGCTCGTCCTACCTCGGCGGCGGCGTCTCGGGCTACGCGCCCGTCTCGCGCTTTGAAGCTCCCGAGGTATCAACGTCGCGCACTGCCTCGCCTGCGCCCGCTGCAGCTTCGCGCGCTCCTGCATTCAAGGGGAGTGGCATGAAGCTCGGCGCAAGCAAGAAGACCCGCCAGGCAGAGCTCATCGACGCGCTCGGCGGGGAAGCCCTCGTGGCGGATGAGATGTCGGCTCCCCCGACTCCCCAGCCTGTCGAGCCTCCTAATCCTATAAACACTCGTGGGAGTTTGCCGCCAGTCGACCAGGAGAGGTGCATAGCTCCCCTTCATCTTCATTAAATTGTGCACTAACATTAAGTCCCAACGACAGTGTCCACATCGCCATCAAAGAACAAGTCAAAATCGAGCTCGACCGCGAGGGCGGCGTCAAGTCGATGGACTTCCGCGGCGAACTCAACCTGCAGGTCAGCGACGCGGCAGTCGCGCACATCAAGCTCGCGCTTGTCCCTCCCTCGGCCGACTTTGGCGCCGACCTGCAGCTCAAGCAGCACCCGAGCACTGCCAAGTTCACCTCCGGCCAATCCGCACGCCTTATTCAACTCAAGGACTCGTCGCGCGCGTTCCCTGTCAACCAGTCACTTGGTGTGTTGAAGTGGAGATATCAGGGCAAGGACGAGAGCTTTGTTCCCTTGTCGAGTGAGTATTATGTCTTCGGCTTGACAGATGGGATACTAATTGTGTATAGTCAACTGTTGGCCATCGCCATCCAACGACGGCACCGTGGATGTGAACATCGAGTACGAGCTTGAGAATGAACACGTCACGCTCTACGACGTCGTCATCTCTATTCCCCTCCCGTGAGCTCCCTCCTCTTCCTGTACAAGTACCTCCATCTCACTGGTTAAACCTGCAGCGCCGGCTCATACCCAACCGTCGCTTCCCATACCGGCACCTACGAAGTCAATCCCAGTACGCATTCGCTCGACTGGCGTTTGTCCAAGATCTCCCCAGACGAACGCGACGGCTCGCTTGAGTTTACCGTGGGAGGCGACGACGCTGGCGCTTTCTTCCCCGTACGCGTCAACTTCGTCGGTCAAGGCTCAATCGCGGGCATTGCTGTCGAGAAAGTCATGCGTGCGGACGGAGGAGAGGAGCCGCCGTTCTCGGTCGACTCGATTGTTTTGTCTGATGATTATTTGGTTGTTTGATAGTGGTGGTTTTGTTAGTATCTTCGAGCGAGCGGAATGATATGAAATGCGGATTCCGCGCAGCTTTATAAGATTATTCACTAAGCAGCGTGATGCGTTTCAAGTGTGACAATAGATCGCAAGTTATGTAGTACGGATGACAATGCGAGAGACAAAAGTGATGAAGAGAATGGGAGAAAATAATTAACGGCTGTATGTAGCAAGGGTATAATTATAGCTGATCTAATGCTTAACGAAGCAAGTTTCGCGTTTTCGTACAGATCGTCAAAGTCAGTCACGCATCAACACGAACTGACATAGTCCTCCACCTGCACTGCCATATCCACAGCCAGCGTCACCTCCACTTCTGGCTCATGAGACAATCGTAGCCGTCCCCGCCCGCAACACGGGTACATCCTCTCTGACCTTTCGTCCTGGCATGCGTTTCGCCCCCAGACTCAGACCCTCCATAGCGACAACATCATCCGGCTCTTCGATGCGGACAACGCGGGACAACCTACTCTTGGCCGCCGGTACTGGCATGGCGCCAAATTCATCCATTCCTTGAGACGTGTTGGAGCTGATGCGGTTATGGCCACGGCGAGATGATCCTGGATCAAGGCTTGATCCTGATCGCGTGCCCGTCCCCATTCCCATACCCGAACCTGAGCCCGATCCGTGACCAGAGCCAGAGCCAGAGCCCCGCGAGTCGTACGAGAGCCTCCGTGTGTCTGCAACATTCCCGCTACTAGACGAACGGTTCCTGCTGCTATCGTGCCCCGACGCCGATCCTGAGCCTGACCCCGACCCCAAGTCCGGAAGCATAGAGTGCCTCCGTCCGTCAAGAGTCCTCGACGAGTAACCCGGCCCGGGTACGCCCAAAAGCTGCGAATTCCTCCTCTTCGTCCCTTCCGTGATGGTCTGGCTCTGCCCGTGACCTTGCCCTGGAGACAAGAATTGCGAGCTCGGCGGTGGCTGCGGAGACTGTCCGGGATGAGGAGATGGGAACATCTGCATCGGCCCTCCGAATCCCATCCCAAGCACCGGCATGCCCATCTGCATCGCCTGCATCTGGCCCATTGGCATAGGGGCCATAGGACTCATGGATCCCATCTGCGCCATCTGCGTCATCTGGGCCATCATCTGAGCCTGCGCTTGTGCTTGTGCATGGGCTTGAGCCTGAACTTGACTCTGCCCGTTGGACATCGAAGACTCGCGCGGACGCCTTCCCTTCTTCTTCGGCCGCACGTCCGGCGTCTCCGACTCCATGAGGCGCTGGAATGCAGCGAGCGTCAGGTACGCATCGTTCCCTGCATTGTGAGGTGCGACACGGTCGCCCGCGTCCATGCCCAGCACACGGAGTAGAGCGGGCAGAGACAACGTTTCGCTTTTTGAGGTAGAGGAAGAGAGGGCGGTACGCGAGAGAACGGCGGTGTCAAGGATGATCACGTTTTTTGGAATGCCTATGATGAATTGATGATCAGCTGAGCCTGGGAGAAATAGAAGGATATGAATAGGAGAAGAAAGCCACGCACCGATTTTGAGTTCCTCGAAGCGCTTCAGGTCTTCTGAGATGCCGTGGCCTACGAGAACGAGGTCGTTCGGAACCGATTCGGATCCAGGGCTTGCCAAGCTGCTGTAGGGGACGTCGACAAGGTTGAATTTTCCATATGCCAGGGGGAACGCACCTTAATATCGTCTCGATGATTTGCGGGAACTTGACTTTTGGGACGACTTGGCTGTCGCCAAACTAGCGGCAAGGAAATGGTGATCAGCAACGGGCGTCATAAGAAACGGGGTGCGAGTAACGTACGGCGTACTGAGAAAGATCACAGAAGCAGATAATATTAGCAACATGAGTAAACGAATGTCATATATGAAAGCTGGCTTTACCTCATGTGGATTGGTGGGACACCGTTGATTTTTCACTTTGTCCAGATGCTCCGAAACGATGTAGTGTCCAGCCCTGCAATAGGCAGTTGAGCAAACCTTGACACGAAGCAGTGTGCAAAACACACACCTATAGTTCCCATTCGGGTCTGGAGGCCAAACACCGTTTCTGAGTTTGCAGGATACCGGTAAATGACAGCTCTCTGCCTCGATATACTCAGCGAAGCACAACTCACAGGTCCAAGAATCCACACCGCATCGTTGCATAGCCCCACTCCAGCACTGTCGACGTATTCCGCTCTGACCACTCGAAGTCGACCGCCATGAACGTCTTCTCGCGCTTGCCCCAAAGCTCCCGGATTGCGCGCATATCGCCCACCCGAACACGAAGCCGCATCCCAGAGAGCATGACAGCAGGAAGCGTTGCATGCACGCGCTTGTACGCCGCCCAATCGCTCACGCGAATGAGGATGCGGTTGGCCGTCTCGAGCGGGGAGACGCGCACGATGTTGCTGCCGAGTTTAGCTACATCGGGATCTGGGAGTGTTTCGCCAAACCTGCTCGGTACATCGGGTTAAGCACAGAATGGTTGATGTAAGCTGTGTGTGCGCAGTAAAGATAACAAAGCGGACGCACCTAGAGCGGATCTGGCGTAAGAACAGGTCGATGGAGCGCCGTTGCGTGACGATGTGTGCACGCCCGGTGGATGCGTCAGTCACGGTGATGACGGGCCAAGAGAAGGCGAGGAACTCGTTGAACGTCTCAAAGAGGTGTCCCCACGTTCGCAGATACCTTTGGTACACCATGCATTAGGGGCGAGTCTGACATAGAGGGGCGGGGCGACTACTCACCATTGAACCCTTTCCGCTTGGAACCACCCGATGTATGCCGCATACACCTAGCATAGCATAGCGATGTCAGAATTACGTGTATTAAGGAACTGTTTTAGCCACGCACGGAGTGAAGATCGTGTTTCCAGTCATCCTGGGGGTTGACGGCCGTGAAGTCGGCCATTGCAGTAAGGGAGGGGAGAAGTTCTGGCAGAGGAGTGCGTTGCAGTTAAGACCTGAGCAGAACCGAGTAGAGAAGACGGCAGAGAAGGCTAGAACCGGTTTGCAGCCGGATGAGGGTATAAAGGGCGAGGTAAAGGCAGAGAAGCACTAAGGGAGTGGACGGGTTAATAATTAGAGGAGGTGGCGAAGAGAGGGGGCTCAGCCTGCTGACGACAGACCGGATCGAAATGTATTGAAGAGAGATCCACAATAGCGATCTCGGGCGGCAGGATGACGACGGCCAATGCTGTAAGCCGGCCGCCCGCACTTGTTGTGCATCCTCGTGCGTGGTCTGTCGTGTTTGTGATCAGAACGTCCATCATGGCCGGATTCAGTAGGAGAATGATTCATGATGATGCCGCTAAATGGACGTCGGAGCCAAACGTCGCCGGAACAGCAATAATGAGCCTCGATGTTTGCTGGAGCGGAGGAGAAACCTGGAGAACGGCAGTCGCGTCTCGAGTGCACCCGAGAACGTGTCGCTTGGGTTGCGGAGAACACAATTGGGATATGTTGGGCGGAAGTAAGAGGCTCCGAGTCTTGGCTGCGTCACCACGTTGCGAACGCGAATTCCCTTTTGGCCTGCTCAATTGATCCCGCCTTCTGCCGCAAAAAGGGTGCAGAAGGGTGTCTTCCCGCTCACCAAATTTCATCTGTAAAATTCATCGCAACGTTCCTCGAAGCGGAGATGAATTGAATACTAGTGAAGATACGTATTATTGTTCAGCTTTAAGACTACACACGTTCGCTATTGCTACAGAAAAACGAAGATGAAGATCCTGGAGGGAAATTTGTGAGTCGGGGACGAGTTCAGGAAGCTTGGAGGCAAGTTTTCAGAGACTTGAATGGTTCCCGAAGGAAATGGACCCATTGTGCGTGCACGTCGCCAGGTTGCAGAAGTTGTACATCATGTGAAACTGAAACCAGAAGTCAGACACTCACCTATACCTTGGGATGTCGACAGAACTCTACTGTGCAGAGATAAGGAGAAAACGAGACACTAGCTGAGAAATGGAATCAGTCAGCAATTCACTTGATAGCAGATGTAGTTGAGACAAGAAATTTTCAGATATAAGTTCGTGTTCTTCTCAAAGCCCTCGAGAGGCTCGAAGTGAGCTGAGTTAACGAAGTACTTTCATCGCCAAGCAGGAAAAAGTGCGAAAAACCAAGAGACAATAAGATACTCACCAGTTTTCCAGCTCCTTGAGTCTCCTTTGACAAGGAGCGCGCGCATACCGAACGAGACGCGGGCACGAGGAGGGGACAAACGGGTTTTGCCGAAGCACGATTGCCTCCGCTCCAAGGCCTGCCCTGAGCACCAGCCACTGTCCGCCAGCTGTACAGCACCTGTCAGCATTTCCCACACCCGCCAATACGCACCGTTGGCCGTCGTGTACCGAGTCTACTGACCACAACCCGACCGACCGTCAAGATGCAGATCTTCGTCAAGACCCTCACGGGGAAGACGATCACCCTCGAGGTGGAGTCTTCCGACACCATCGACAATGTCAAGGCCAAAATCCAGGACAAGGAGGGGTATGTCCTTTTATCGGCGACAGTAGGAGACAAACGACTGACTGACGATTGAACGTATATTTCTCGTCTAGCATCCCCCCTGACCAGCAGCGCCTGATCTTCGCCGGCAAGCAGCTCGAGGACGGCCGCACTCTTTCGGACTACAACATCCAGAAGGAGTCCACCCTCCACCTTGTTCTCCGGTGCGTCATCTGACGCAGCCTCCCGGAATCCAAAACTAACTTCCGAATGCTTACTTTCTAGTCTCCGTGGCGGTATCATCGAGCCCTCGCTCAAAGTATTGGCCTCAAAATACAACTGCGACAAGCAGATCTGCCGGAAGTGCTACGCCCGCCTCCCCCCTCGTGCGACCAACTGCCGCAAGCGGGGATGCGGACACTCGTCTCAGCTCCGCCCGTGCGTACCTTCCCCGTTTGATATACCCCACATTGCAACTGACGATTGGTTGCTGGGATTTACAGTAAGAAGAAGCTGAAATAGTGGTTGCGCGCACCACTATATCATACTCTTCGTCGATACGGATATCTTCTCTGGGGTTGGAGATAGATATTTCGAGTATGCAGCAGGCCTTTTCATGTATCTATGCAGCACGCAAACATGACACGTTTTCCCACTGTCTTCCACTGTCTCTCGACTGCCGGACCCACCTGAGTCTAATCTTGTTTTCAAGGCAATCGATGATTGATTGCTATACTACACCAAGCCCATGGCGAAGCTGACTTACGGTGTCATTCTGGGAACGCTGGTCGCAGATGCTTGATGTATTTACCTCTCTTTCATCGACCTGTCTCTGACGTCGCCGTTACCGGAACAACTTCCCTGATGCCACCCAGCCAAACACCCAGCGTTTGTACGACACATTCGACACCCGGTGCTAAAGGTGATTTTACCCTCTATCGCGCTAGTGCTGCCATCGGCTGCCTGAGCATCATTCGGTTACCTGCTCGGCGACGCGACAGTGGGGCACACATATAAATGCTTTAGCAGATCGCATGTCACTCGTAATTGTGCAACTTCCGACTCGTCGCAACGGGCCAGGTATGTAAACCCTTCAAAGCCGCGGACATCCGAGTAGGCATGGAGGTTCGCTCCAAAGTCGAACAGGTCCACTCAAAATTGAACCGCCTTGTTTGTTCTTCGAAATTAATTTCAATGATCGACTATAACTACTTGGAGCAGCGGCGCTTAACACTGTCAGCGTCGACCATCGCCCGTCGCGTCGGTGCAGATCAAACTAAGCTTGATTCGTCGCACCCTTGATTATGAACCCACTGACCAAAAACACACGTCCTTGCCGCTCACGTCGTAGGTTGCCCGCTGACAAATGTCGTCCTAAACTGTGTTTTTTGGACCTCATTATTCGCCGATCACCTTTCTTCCAACTGGCCAAGTCCGCGGAGATCCTTACACGACGCGGCAACGTCACCGTATGTGAAGCGACATGGGCGGTACGCTGTCGCGCCGTCAGTCACGGTGGCGCTCGGACCCTTGGCCAGCTGAATCCTTGGACCTACAAGTGTGTGCAATACATGTCTTATCCGAAGTAGGCCATATTTGAAACAAAGATTCCTTCGAGCATAAAGGTCGACAAAGTGTTTTCGTCGTCTTAGACTCGAGGTTCTCTGCCATCAACTCGAGGTTCTCCGCGGGATTGTCGTCCACATGTCGGGTTTTGTCGAGGCTCTCATTCGATAAGCTCCACAAATGGCTCTGGTGCCACTGTGGCACGGGTGGATTCAGGGCGCGTCGCCATTGTCTATGACAGAAGGTTAATATCAGCCACACGTATCTTCTCCTTCTTGCGTGACGGTCTCGTTGGTACTAAGGTGTGGTGTTAGCCACATTGATGTAGATCCCATCTGAGCGAGCCCTGTGGATCTACCTCCATCGATAAAATAAGCTTGGGGGACCGTATGTGTAGCTGGAACGGTGGCGAACCTTCTCTTCACATAGATCCTTATTTCACGTTGGAGAATGCTGGTGTTGCTCACCTGCCCGAACTGCACTAAATGGAACAAAAATTGACCGATGGTAATCCACTACAACTTGACAGCGTTTGATGCTAAATACTTTTGTCAATATCCATATACTCTGACTTAACGGCAATTGAATGTGATACAGAGACTCGAGTGATTTTTTTACGCCAACGTACTACTGCCTTGTCAGATTTACGTCTAGTATTCGTCCCTTTACGGCTTTATTGGTTCATCCAGAAGCCTCCTGTACGGCGATGTTCCTCTACGAGGTCTACAAGTAAACACCGCCTTCATACGTCTATTCAGGCGCTTAGTATCCCATAGGTACTTTAAGCGCTTACGCACTCGTGTGGCTCCGCGTTCATCGCATAGGGCCACGTTCTGCTTACGTAGCCGTCCTGCATTACCGCGGGACTTGGACTGCATAGTAGTTACGAATACGGTAGTGACTTCACACGCTCCTGTCATATATATACAGTCGCTACCATGAATATCATCTAAGTCTTCTCTCTCCACCGAACGACTACCATCGTCAGCTATCAGCCTAACCCGCTACTACTCAACCTTCAATACTAACTGCCCGGTGAGTCTGCGCTTTCATAGACATCCTAGCTATACTCGCGTCAGTCCTTTGTCAGGTTATGAGCCCCGCGGGCGCGGCGGAGCCTAGTACCTCAAGGCGGCTTAGTA